ACTATAGGACCAGTTTGATATAACACAATTTCATACAATATATATAATTAGGGGGTGCCCGCTCCATCTTGCCATCAGTTAGGTCCTTGGCCTGGAAAACATTTGAGTCCCCTTGTCTAGACCTTGCACCCAACCACAATTGCTCATTGTGCTGTGTGTGCTTGATACATTGAGAAGACTTGAGAAGAGGAGGTCTGTGGCAGAAATGCCAGGCCAAAGGAACTGTAAGCAGATGGAGATGCCAGAAATGTATGTCTTTCCAAACAGGAAAAAAAAAATCCATCACAGACCTGACAGAGGACTTGGGAGATTCATCATTTTATGCTTATGCCAAGTTTTCTGCTAGAAGCTCTTTGGGAATCCCCTCATTGGTGCCAAAATCCTATTCAATGCCTGTTAAACTGTACTAGAATACCCTGCAAAAGAAGTCATTGCCTCTAATAGTTTAATATTTAGGGATTTTATATAATTGAGGTGGACAAATAAAATTATGTAAAGTAAGCCTACAAGTCTCTTCTTGTTTTAAACTTTAAAATCCTACCTTTTTATCATAAGCGTCGTTAGACCTATTTAAGGGTGGCTTCAGTCATCCTTTCTTTGGCATTAGCCACCCTATAATTATTTTGCGATTTAAAAAAAAAATATTTTTTTTTTCTGTATTTATTTTTTCCTCATATTTTCCCAAAACAAATGCAGTAAAGCACCGAATAAAAGCCATAAAGAAGACAAGTTAATCTGAACAATCATAGGCGTAACTTCCTTAAGGACTGGTGTGGACATGTCCCCACCAATCTTGACCAGTAGGGGGACAGTCCCCACCAATATTTTGTACACGTATGGTGCTGTGTATATCTGATTAAAACCCCATTCATGCCGCTCCTCAGAAAGAAAATAAAAAAAGTTCTCCCCGCTGCTCACCGAATAGCCTATGATGGGTTAACGGGTCGGGTTGCGGGTTAAATATCGTCGGGTCGGGTTCGGATTTGAATTGAAGATATCCGCGGGTGACGGGTCGGGTTCGGTCGTCATCCTAACGGGTTCGGGCGGGTGCGGGTTGGTAAAACTCGACCCATGCAGGTCTCTAAGCTACACTACATTCAGTATCGTTGCTATAGAAACAGACAACAGCGCCAATATATCAGAATTATACTAAAACACACGCAAATAATTTCCCACATAAAAAACAGGACTTTCAGTCCATTACAGTTTTCCGTTTTTAGAGGGTTGTTTATTTTGCGTTTATTAAGTGATGGCTGTGGTATATTAGCTTTCACTGCTATAAGCTTTAGCAGCAGTGATTGATTAATTTAAACACCTGCTCTACTGATGGTCTATCGGAGTTAGTGTTTAGGTTGAACATAAAGAACACCTTTTATTTGAAGCTTCTTGTAGATACTGTTTTAATCCCGGCTTCACTTAAAACTTTTTCCTGACTTTGATAGTGTTGACATTCAGTAGCAAGCACTGCGCCCCTTTTTCTTTTATATGTACACGTACATTTAAGATTTAGCGTGTTATGATGACAACTCATGAGCAAGCTGCTTTTTGCAATCTAGCAGGAAGGTAAGGATAGGATCTTTCAGGTGTGACGTCACTCTGCAGGGGGTCCAAAGATAAAAGATTTAAACAATTTTGGCATTGGAATTTCAGATTTAAGGGAGTTAGAAAGTTCACTTAGTAAAAGTGCAAATAATAAATCTGATTACAGATTACTTTTAAGCTGGTTGAACATACTGCGACAGACTGGTGACCTGTCCAGGGTGATCCCACCTCTCACCCAGAACGTGGCTAGAGATATGCACCAGCACCTCCTGATCCCACTGAGGGATAAGGTTAAAGAAAATGGATGGTTGAACATAGTCCGCTCTCCCAGATTCTATCAAATCAGTATTGATACCCTCAGGGGCTGATTTAGGAAATTTGGGGCCCTAGGCAAAGACAGGCAGGGGGCCCCCTGAGAAGAAAACCCATAAAACAGACCCATTCTCCAGATAGAGAAATGTTAATAGAATAGACATTCATTATTTGTTCTAGGTTTTGTCCCTCTCTTCTTGTCCCTTTTTCCTCTCTATTTATCAGCGTTCTGATGGCATTTTAGCCAAAGGATTTTTATCAAAAACATAATTAATGTGCACAAATAAGGAATAGTTGTATTAACTATACATGTAAACAGAGTTTTATGGGGCCCCCAGAAATTTGGGGCCCTAGACAACTGCCTAGTATTGCCTAATAGTAAATCCCCCCCTTGATACCCTGCTGGTGGATGTTCTTGACAGAAAGACGGAAGTGCTTAATCATATTCTGCTTAAGGCCCCATAAGATCTTGTCCGAGTCTTAGTTTAAAAGTAAATTAATTTTAAAAAGTGACCTAAAATTGACGGTCAATAAATGTTCTACAAAATTGATATATTTATTTGATTTCTTTGATTTGTACTGTCTGTTTAGATTTATGTGATATTTTTTGCACAAAATATATAAGTGAATATTGTAACAGTTATGTTTTCAACTGTAATCATTAAATTTATAAATGTTATTCACATTTTTTTGGCTTTATCCTTTCCAACAAAAAAAAAAAGGCGTCGCGCAGGTAGCTCCCTTTCCTTATGAGCCGTCCCCACCAACTTTCAACACAAAGTTACACCCTTGTCTTAGACAACGCCTTAGCAGGTGCACTGAAAAAATATCTTCTAGGGGCTGAGCCACCCTTGTCTCTTAAACCTAGAGACGCCCCTGCTTTCTATGTAAATATATTGCCTAAAAGCCAAAAAGGTTTAAAGCTACACTGAAGTATCTTATTTTCGGCTACTAAATTTGTCTTTGTTTATGGATGGAAGAAGAAGCAAAAAGCAGAGGAAAGCTGCAGCTTTAAATTTCTATTTCTGTCTATTTTGTAGTTAACAAAGTTTTTTATTTCTATGTGCTTTAACAGCATGAAAACAGAGATATGTTGTGAAATCTGAAATATAATATGGAAATTAGTGTGTTTTTGCAAGACTTAGCCTAAATGAACACCCCAGTCAAAATGTTCCATAGTATCTGGCTTTATGAAAGAAGTTGTGAGCTGGTGTGCCCCAACAATCTTTTACAGGTACAGGTGAAATCATACTAGTACACTTAATGCATTTCGTTAATTTTAATTAATATGATTATATCTAGTTAATTTTAGTTTTATGGTTTTTGCCCATTGACTTTTTAAAAATTTTATTTCTTTTTCTCCTCTTCTCTATCCTGCTTTGATTTGATTTAAATGTACTGAAGCAGTTTGAGTACTATTACCTTAATTTAAATAGGTTCTGCTTGTGATGAGCTGTTTTTATGAATGTTTGGATGTTTTAAATCACTGTGAAAATTATCCATCTAGGTGTATTGATAAAATAACCTTGAATAGAAACATAAAAGGAGAGCAGCTATTTCAGAAGTCCAGTCATTATAAAGACAAGTTTATGTGAGCAAAAGCAACTTAAAAAGAATGCAATGTTATATTCTATATACTGATACTGCCATGCCTTTAGATTTAATACTATTGGTTTTATTGTAGCCATATACAAGAAAAAAAAGTTTATATTTCTTGTTATTATACACTCAGCACCCTCTTCTGACAGATAAAACAAAACATCTTGAATATACTGAAAATTTATTCAAAACAAAAAATGTAATTCTATACTCAAATACCTGAGTATTTAGACCCTTTGCTGTGACCCTTATATTTAATTATTCCCGCCCATTTATTCTGACCCTCTTTGGGATGGCTTTACTTTGCAGGGGCCAAGCTGCGTTTAATTAAACTGATTGGACTTGATCAGGAAAGACACACACCTGTCTATAGACCTTACAGCTCCAGTGCATGTCAGAACAAATGAGAATCATGAGGTCAAAGGAACTGCCCAAGGAGCTCAGAGACAGAATTGTGGCAAGGCACTAATCTGGACATGGATACAAAAGTATGGACCGTTCCCTGTTTAAAAAAATGCATTTGTGTATCACGGCATGTCAGGGGAGTCTCAAAAATCCACACACAAATGCAATGAATTTTGAAGACTACTCTTGTAATTATAATTGTTTATGGACCAGAAATACTTTTTGTGATCTCATTCTGTGCATGTGTGGATCTGGTGTGCTAGCGTGAATCGTTCTGTGCGTATGTGGATCTTGTCCTTTGTGTGTGTGGATATTTTGTGCTTGCATCGACAGGATGATTGATATGACCAAATCCTACCAATGGCTACACAGGCTGAGGGGTTAAAGGAGAGCATAGAGGTTCTGATCATGGCAGCACATGAGCAGACCTTGAGCGCCAGAGTAATAGAGGTCCACATCTACCATACCTGGCAAGATGCCAGGTGGAGGCAATGCAAAGAGGCCCCAGAAACAATCCAGCATCTCACAGCAGGGTGTAAGATACTGTCAGGAAAGGAATACTCGGAACCATAACCAAGTGGCTGGTATAGTGTACAGAAACATCTGTACAGTATAGAAACTGCAGACCCCGTGGTCAAAATGGGAACCACCTCCCAAGGTGGTGGAGAATGACGGAGCTAAGATCCTGTGGGACTTCCAGATACAAACAAACATAATGGCTGTTGCCAACCAACCGGACATTGTGATCATTTATATATATATATATATATATATATATATATATATATATATATATATATATATATATATAATATTCTATTATGGTCTATATGCTATTTGTATTATACTTATATAATATTTGTATATTTATTTCTGCCATAATAAGTTGAAGATGCTCTCTCTTTGCTTGGCTTTTCGGTTGTTCGTTCGAATTCATCAATCCTTCTTGAGGTTTTCAATGTCTCATATATCATTTTATAACCAAATTCTGACCTTTTTTTAAAAATCCATATTTTTTGCATCTAAATTAAAGTACCGGGACATACTGGGACTGTGGTTTCCCCCATCTGAAAAGGGAATGACTTGTACACTTTCCTGTATTTTTTAACGCATGTATCCCTTTCATCCTAATATGTTCACAGGTGGGTCTGCTGGGCGTCCCTCTTTACCTCTGCCAGGTGAAGCCCCTGGAGATTCATTGGTATGTCCTTACTGTGTCTACTACAACCAACTCAGCGAACATCCAAATGAGCAGCTAGAGGACCAGCACCATGGAATCCCATGCAACAGCGACAGCCCGTGTCACAGCGACAGCGTCTGTCATGGTGATCCACAGCAATCTGAGCCAAAAAAAAGACTCTGGCACTGCTGTTGGCTCAGACTCAAAAACAAGCTGGAACTTATCGTCGGCAGCAGATACTTCAGCAGAGGAATCATGATTGCCATCCTCATTAACACTCTGTCGATGGGTATAGAGTACCACGAACAGGTGAGCTGTTTAGATTGCTAGCATGTTTGTGTTGACAAGCACTGCTTGGTGCACATGTCCTTCAGACCGAATGTGACTCCGGTGTGATTGACGTGCTAATCGTCGTGTGTGAGAGAATCAACAAACTCCCCCTCCAATCAACACTTACAGCACCCAGCATATGGGATCACAACAGTAGTGTGTGGGCATGGCTGTTTGTGAGTGTGTGTTGGCACATATGAGAAAATGGGGATACTTATAAGACCTCAAGTGTTAATTAAAGCGTGACCCTGGGAAAGGAAAGAGACACTAAGCTGTGCGGTAATAGAGGCAAGTCGCTGGAGCGGGTGGGGGTGAAAGAAGTAATCAGGTGGAGGGGGGCAGACATGATTGGCTGAATGACAGCAGCAGGTTTTGGAAACGAGGAAAGATTTAATTTGACCTGCTTCATAAGTAAAATGACACACCTTGACGGCCATAACTTCCTGCATGACGAATATTTACGGATAAGAACTGGCTTGTTATATCTCATTCCTATGATTACAGGCTACTTAAAGTCCAGACCATCAAAGCTATGTGTGTACACAACTCAGTGCACAAAATTACTAAAAAAAAAACTTTTAAATGATCATTTCAAAGTCTCCCATCTAAATTTTTATATGATCATGCAATTGCCAGTGTATCGGATGTAACTGAGCATGCTCAGAAACCCAGCTGCATGTTAACACTGCATTGTTGGTTTGCATAAACTGTGAGAAATAATTCATAAAGGCTGTGTTCACTACACCCTTGCCTGTGATACATTCTATTCATGTATTTTTACTGTCAGAGCAGCAGCAGGTCCTGTTTATAAAATATCCAAAAACACAGATGCCTGTTCTGTGTGATTGGAAATGTTTTCTTCTTCTTTGTTTAGGGCCTCATAAACCAAGGGGATTATTTTATAAATGGACAAAAGATCAACGAAAAAGTGTATATTTTTATAAAGATTTTCCTCCCCTTGCATTAATTAGTTTGTCCTGATTTATCTTTCAGAACATTGATACAGGAAAATATTTACATAAAAAATGTTTTTACTTGTCTTGAGCAGTCCATAAGAGGCATTGGTTATCTATATTAGAACTCCAGTCACATCAAATGTGTGCGAGTAACCACATTCACACTGGAGACAGTTGTTGCTATTATGACCTAGTAGTATTTTCACTTAAATGGTGCCACGTTTGTATGGACAAAGCTTTCTTAAGTTGAACAGCAGAAGTTTGTGGGTTGTAACCATCCAAAAACCTGCCAAATCCTTACTGAACATGTTATCTTTTAACCCACGTTTAGTGTTGTTTCTTGGATTCATTTTTTAGGGATTTTTTCATTTTGTTTTGTAAAATTAATGCCATAGATAAATGATGACCAATGGGTTACGAATAAAGCAAACTACAGTGAAGGTAAAAAAAAAAAAATTGTGGTGCCAATAGATTTGACACACAATGTGTAATTTATATTAAATTAAAAATGGATTACTAAAAGGTTATTTTAACAAGTTTGAAATTGTTTTACTTCAGTAAAAGCTATTTTTATTTTAATGCATGCTAAACAAGTAAGTTACAATCCATGGTAGAGTTGAGAGGGGTTGTTGATGATTAAATTGCAAGAGGGAATACTAAAGCATAATGATTTAATTGTTACCAGGGGAGTGGCGGTGGTTAGGGCATAGGGCTTTGAATTCTGAGGTTGTGAGTCGATCCCCCACCCCACAGACTGCCACTCTGGGTCCCTGAGCAAGACCCTTAACCCAACATTGCTCCCCGGGCGCCGTACAATGGCAGCCCACTGCGCCTCAAGGGGATGGGTTAAATGCAGAGAAGTAATCTCCCTCTGTGATTATTAGAGTATATAAAATAAAAATAAAACAATTAGTATCCTTTAGAATTTATTTAAACATTTTTCTTTTAACAAACCTTTGGGTGTAAAAATTGTTTGACAATTTTTGTCTGGTACTGGAAGTTAAAAGAGTAAAAGTGCTCTCCAATCTTCTCTTGCATCATTTGCACTTCAAACAGATTGAACTTGCATAGGATGGAAGTCCTTTCCTTAGATTTTTCCAGCAGACATTGAGGTGTGCTCAACCTTCACTCTTGATACTCCTTTGGGTACCAGTTTATCAAATGGTTGGGTTTCTTGTATTTCTTAAACTGGTAACAACATCTTCTATTTACATGTTTTTTCTGGAATGAAATTCACTTTAGAGTCACGAATCCCATCCTAAAATGTATTTGTTGGATCTTTCAATTATATTGTGCTTTGCAAAATATGTTTTTTGCACCCTTTGGCTCTGTTTTTCGGGAATCATGGAATTGAATTTCACTGTTATGATGATGACTAACAGATATATTCCCCGTTTGCAAAAAGTAACACAATCCAGTAACTTCAGCATTGCTTCAATGACATTAAAGCATGGCTGTCACTTAACTTCCTTAGTCTATGCAAGAGCAACTCAAAAGTTCTGTTATTTGGACTGAATTGCTGTCCTTTGCCAAACATAGCTCTTAGTTAACTGTCAGTTTTTCTCAGGGACTGTGTCACAAATCTGGGGGTAAAATATGAATCCAATCTTAAATTTTAAGAAACAGTTCGGTCATGTTGTTCAGATTAGTTTTTATCAACTTTGGCAAATAGCCAAAGTAGAAAATAAGTAACCTTTTAAAAAATTTTATTTTAGAAAGAATAAAATAAAAACATTTTCATTCCCATTCTTTGTGTGGTCTTAGCACATGGAATATATTTAAAATGAAGAGAAGGTTGTTGTTTATATATAACAAGACATGGGAAAGTTCAGGAGGAATCACTTATTTTAAAAAGCTATGTTGATTTGTTATGACATATTTACCTCTATTGACGAATAAATAAGAAAAAAAGCGATTCCTAATGGTTTCCTTCTATTTTATGTCACTTATTTTCCCAGAAAGCCTCACTGTTCAAGTCATACAATATGGTCTAAATGTACCATGCTAAGAACTTTGTGTGCAGTCAGAATAAACCTCACCAAACAAAATGATCTTCACTTGATAAAAGGATTAAACTTTACTTCCCTTGTTTGTTCTTTTTTGTACAGCACCCACTTCTGAAAAGTCTGTCTAATTTCTAAGTCAAAGTGATAGAAATGCATAAAATATCTGCACTTTTCTGAAAACATTTGTTAAATACTGGCACACACTGAACCATACAAACTAACAATGGCAACCTTATGAACACCTTTGCTGTAAAATAATGGCCTGTTTCTCTTCTTTTGTTATTTCTTTCTCTCTCTTCATTTCCCTCCCTTTAGCCCCAGGAGCTTACAGATGTTTTGGAGATAAGTAACATGGTGTTCACCAGCCTCTTCAGTTTAGAGATGCTGCTGAAGATGCTGGCTCTTGGGCTCTTTGGCTACATCAAGAACCCTTACAACGGCTTTGACAGCATCATTGTCATTATCAGGTGTGTATGTTTTCAGTTAAATAAAAATTCCTGTCATTTATTCCTCTCCTTTTTTAATGGGAAATCCCTTTGATCGTTACTGCACAGCTTCTCAGATACTTTAACAGTGATGCTGACTTGGGTGCCTCAGCCAAATGGCTGCATATGATGTCCAGAGGGCCTGTGTTCACTCTGTTATGTAGCACTAGAAGCTGAATTATGAATATGTGTTTGAAGCCTTCCCATGTTTACTTTCACACTTCTCTCACTTCTTTTAGTAACTGGTGGACCATAAATTCAGTTTTTCAGTCACCATATGTGGTATAGAAAGTAATTAACTTCTATATTAAGAGACGTTTTGAATGTGAATTTGCCACTGGTAGATATTAATCTCTGTAAATTATGTATTGCAGTGTGTGGGAGATTGTGGGTGAGGCTGAGGGAGGCCTGTCAGTGCTCCGTACATTTCGCTTGCTGAGAGTTTTGAAGCTGGTGCGCTTCCTTCCTGCTCTGAGAAGACAGCTAGTGGTGCTCATGAAGACCATGGACAATGTGGCCACATTCTGCATGCTGTTAATGCTCTTCATTTTCATATTCAGGTATTGAAAAGCTCACTTGGTTTTAACTATGCAAAATTTTATTCACAGTTACAATTCTGTTCAATTTATTTTAGCATATGTGATGATAGCATATGTGTATTAACCCTTATTTCATTAGGTATATAAGATGAGTTTCCCAATGGAAGGATTATTATTACTCTTAAAATGAGATCATTAGATAATATGCACTTGAAATAAGCGATGCAGTTGTTTTTTCTCATTTTAAATGTAAATTATCTTGTTCCATTGGCAAAGTGTCCCCCACCCATATTATATTTTCATTATACTGTCACAAGTACAAGGCAATGAAATTAACTCTCTGCATTTAACCTATCCCATTGGGGATCAGTGGGCTGCCATTATGCAGGGCCTGGGGACAGTGTTGGGAAAGTTCTCTTTCTACGTGAACTAGTTCAAAGTTCAGTTCACACATTTTAAAATGAACTAGTTCAGTTCATAGTTCATAATTCAAAACCAAAAAATGAACTATTCAATTCAATTCAATTCAGTTTATTTATATAGCGCCAAATTCACAACACATGTCATCTCAAGGCACTTCACAGTTCAACCAGATCATAAAGTCAAATTGATACAAAGTTCTCCATCTAAGGAAAACCAGTTGATTGCATCGACTCATTGACTCAATACAATCCCTCACACTAAGCATGCTTGTAGCGACAGTGGAGAGGAAAAACTCCCTTTAAACAGGAAGAAACCTCCAGCAGAACCAGGCTCAGTGTGAGCGGCCATCTGCCGAGGCCGACTGGGTTCAAGAAGACGGAAGCAGAGACACAAAAGCAGCTGTAATAGGCGGCCCCGTCCAGGAAACACACAGCCAGGCAGACGAGCTCCGAGCCAGCTCCCATGTCAGAGGACGAAGAAAGCACATCCACCCAGTCACAGCACAGCTGATGTTTCTTTCCAGGATGACGTCACAGCCAAACAGGAACAGACAAGGCAAAGCTACTCTGAGGAAAAGCAGATAGAGCAGAAGGTTAGAGATTGAACTAACAGATTCTGCAGAATAGGAGAATAGAAAGAGAATGAAGCAGAATGATGAAATGGGGGTCCCTATGTCCTCCAGCAGTCTAAGCCTATAGCAGCATAACTATAGAGATAGCTCAGGATAACCTGAGCCACTCTAACTATAAGCTTTATCAAAAAGGAAAGTTTTAAGCCTAGCCTTAAAAGTAGACAGGGTGTCTGCCTCACGGACTAAAACTGGTAGTTGGTTCCACAGGAGAGGAGCCTGATAACTAAAAGATCTGCCTCCCATTCTACTTTTAGAAATTCTAGGAACCACTAGTAAACCTGCAGATTGAGAGCGAAGTGCTCTGTTAGGAACATAAGGAACAATCAGATCTCTGATATAAGATGGAGCTTGGCCATTTAAGGCTTTATATGTGAGAAGGAGGATTTTAAATTCTATTCTTGATTTAACAGGAAGCCAATGAAGAGAAGCCAGGATAGGAGAGATGTGATCTCTCTTTTTAATTTTCATCAGAACTCTGGCTGCAGCATTTTGGATCAGCTGAAGACTCTTAACTACAGTTTGTGGACTTCCTGATAGTAAAGAATTACAATAGTCCAGCCTTGAAGTAACAAATGCATGGACTAGTTTCTCAGCATCACCCCTGGACAGGAGATTTCTAATTTTTGCAATGTTCCTCAGATGAAAGAAGGAAATTCTAGAAACCTCTTTGATATGGGATTTAAATGACAGGTCCTGATCAAAAACAACACCAAGATTTTTTACTTTATTATCTGAAATCAGTTTAATCCCATCCAAATGAAGTGACTGACTAATCAGCTTATTTTTCAAAGACTCTGGTCCAAAGACTATAACTTCTGTTTTGTCTGCATTCAGAAGCAGAAAGTTAAGAGTCATCCAGGTTTTTATGTCTTCAAGACATGCCTGTAATCTATGTAATGGGTTAGCTTCATCTGGATTTATAGACAGATATAGCTGGGTATCATCAGCATAACAGTGAAAATTAATCCCATGCTGTCTAATAATTCTACCAATTGGGAGCATGTATAAAGTAAATAGAATTGGTCCTAGCACTGATCCCTGTGGTACTCCACAGGTAACCTTTGAGCATGTTGAAGATCTATCATTAACATGAACAAACTGAAATCGATCAGATAGATAAGATTTAAACCAGTCTAATGCTGTTCCTTTAATTCCAACAAAATGTTCAAGTCTTTCTAAAAGAATATCATGGTCAACTGTATCAAATGCAGCACTAAGATCCAACAGGACGAGCACAGATACAAGTCCATTATCTGAGGCCATGAGAATATCATTAGTGACTTTCACCAGAGCTGTTTCAGTGCTATGATGAGCTCTAAAGCCAGACTGAAACTCTTCAAAAAGTTCATTATGGTGTAAGTGATCGCAAACTTGCTTGGCAACTACTTTCTCAAGAATTTTGGATAAGAAAGGAAGATTGGATATAGGTCTATAATTAACCAAGTCATCTGGGTCAAGAGACGGTTTCTTAAGCAGAGGTTTAATTACAGCAACCTTAAAAGCTTTAGGTACATATCCCTGAAACAGAGATAAATTAATCACATCTAAAATGGAGGAGGAGATCAAAGGGAATGCCTCCTTAAATAACCTGGTTGGAACTGGATCTAACATACAAGTTGAAGGCTTAGATGAAGACAATAATTTTGCTAATTCAGAGAGTTCAACTGGATCAAAGCAGTCTAAACCCGGTTCAGATTCCATGACTACCTCAGGTACAATCGCGGATAGAGGAGTGCTTATGATCTTATTTTTAATAAGATCAATCTTATTTATAAAGAATCCCATAAAATCATTGCTGCTAAGAGCAGGTGGAATGGACGGTTCAACAGAGCTATGGCTCTGGGTGAGTTTGGCAACTGTATTAAAAAGAAATCTAGGATTATTCTTATTCTCCTCTATTAATGAGGAGAAGTATGCTGCTCTTGCTTTACAAAGGGTCCTCTTATACAGCAGTAAACCATTTTTCCAGACTAGGAAGGACTCCCGCAGGCCTGTGGAGCGATATTTTCTCTCCAGTTTCCTAGCATTTTGCTTCAAAGTACGCAGCTCTGCATTAAACCAAGGAGCAAGCTTTCTATTTTTAACGGTTTTCATTTTCAAAGGAGCTGCATTGTCTAAGGCAGCACGCAGAGAACTAGCAACCCCATCAACAAAATCATCAACCTGTGAAGGGGAATAAGCTATGCTTTTGCATTCTGCAGCACTGCTCAGCGACAAAGAGGAGAGAGAAAGTGAAGCAGATTCGTTAAAATTTATAACTGCACTATCTGATAAAGATCTACTAAAATGTAACCTTCTTTTGGGGGAGGAGAACTCTGTTAAAGTAATCCTGAAGGTTATTAGAAAGTGGTCAGAGAGGACAGGGTTGTGAGGAAATACTGTTATTTCTTCACATTCTATGCCGTATGTCAGCACAAGATCCAAAGTATGAAGATGAGAATGTGTGGGACTATTCACATTTTGAACAAAGCCAATAGTGTCTAAGATAGCATTAAAGGCTGCTCTTAAGCTATCGCCTTCAATGTCAGCATGGATGTTAAAATCTCCCACTATGATGACCCTGTCAGTTTTTAATACCAAATCAGAAAGGAACTCTGAAAACTCATCTAAAAATTCAGAGTAAGGACCTGGTGGACGATACAAAGTTACAAAAAGAAGAGGTTTTCTTGCCTTGAAATTTGGATCAGGGAAATTAAGGGTTAAATGTTCAAAAGAGTTGTAGGTATTAACTGTTTTGGGAGTAATCAGTAAGTCAGACTGGAAGATTGCTGCTACTCCTCCTCCTCGCCCAGAACTTCTGGGTATGTGAAAATTTAAATAGCTTGAAGGAGTTGCCTCATTTATGCTCACATAATCCTCTTGCTGCAGCCAGGTTTCTGTAAGGCAACACAAGTCAATGTGATTATCACAAATCAAGTCATTAACTAGCAGACTTTTAGAGGAAAGAGATCTTATGTTAAACAGACCGCATTTAATTGTTTTAACTTTTTCCCCAATTGGAGTTATTTTTATTTTAATTAGATTATCATGATTTACTCCTTTAGGAATATTTGCTAATTTATTAGATTTTGGTCGTGGGCAAGACACTGTCTGGATGGAGTAAAGAGTGGGTAACAGTAGAGAAGCTGCAGAGATGTGTGTTAAACTACAACTCTGCTTCCTGGTCTGCACCCTGGGTGGTCAGGGTTTTGGAGGACTAATAAATGTGGCCAGATTCCTAGAAAGAAGAGCTGCACCATCCAAAGTGGGATGAATGCCGTCTCTCCGAATCAGACCAGGCTTTCCCCAAAAGGATTGCCAATTATTAATGTAGCCCACGTTGTTTTCAGGACACCACCTAGACAACCAGCGGTTGAATGACGACATGCGGCTAAACATGTCATCACTGGTCAGATCAGGGAGGGGACCAGAGAAAATTACGGAGTCCGACATTTTTTTGGCAAACTTACACACCGAAGCAACACTAATTTTAGTGACCTCCGATCGGCGTAACCGGGTGTCATTACCACCAGCGTGAATAACAATCTTACTGTATTTAACCTTATCCTTAGCCAGTAGTTTCAGGTAGGATTTGATGTCGCCCGTTCTGGCCCCCGGCAAACATTTGACTATGGTCCCTGGTGTCTCTAATGCCACGTTTCTGACTATGGAGCTGCCAATCACCAGAGTGGGCTTCTCAGTGGGTGTGTCACTGAGTGGGGAAAACCGGTTAGAAACGTGAACGGGCTGGTGGTGACCAGTGGGCAGAGATCCACGACTACGCTTTCTGCGTACAGTTACCCAATCGCCTGGCTGCTCAGGCACTTTTGGAGGACAGCCACGTGGGGGGCCTACTTTAACTCCTGGATGTTCAACAGCCTGAAGCCTGGATTCTAACTCTGACACCCTCGCCTCCAAAGCTACAAAAATACTACACTTATTACACATACCATTATCACTAAAGGAGGCAGAGGAATAACTGAACATCTGAAACAGAGAGCAGGAGAGAGGAGAGGAAGAAGGAAGAGTTGGAAAAGAGTCAAGGGAGGGAGAGAGAGAAGCCATAGCAATGCTAAGCTAGCGCTAGCCTAGGCTAGCTACTCCTTGCTATCAGAAATAAAACAGTGTGAAACTGACAAGTGCTCAGTAGAAAAGTGCAGCAGAAGGTGCTATGTTTTAAAGTAGTCAGTTAGAGATATCACAGAGAAAATAACTTAACTTCGGGTGGAATTCCTCTGGACAGCTGCAACAGCTGCACACTCAGATAATCCAAACCTAGTTCATAGTTCTTTTTTTTTTTTTCATATATTGCTCAATTACACCATAGCCTACTGTAGAACCACAGGCAGCAATTATTTTATCAGTTGTAACTCTGAAACTGTGCGTCAGATTTCATCTTCATATCCAGTTTTGAATCCTTATCCAACCAGGGTTTACATTAGCATTGAGGGGACAGCATTTCCCCATTGTTACTTTAACGCTTTGTTGCTGTCCATTCACTTCACACTAGTAGCAGCTGCAGCTTTCACCCCTACAGTATATTCTCAAAAACATCAGGAAAAATGTGCTGCTTGAATGGTCTTTTTTATGAGTAATTATTAAAAGAAAAATAGGAAAGTAGTCTTTAAGGTGCAAATGTTTTTTTTTTTTTTTTTATAATTTTTTCCATTTGAAATTCCATTTCAATACATACTAAAAAGGAATACTGGAATCCTGGAAAATTATACCAGGCAGGTTTAACAAACAAGTTACATGGATAGTAAAACCCTCAAGAACAGGGGTCTTCTATGTTTTCCAGACCAAGGACCCCCAAACTGATGGCGAGATGGAGCGGGGACCCCCTAACTATATATATTGTATGAAATTGTGTCCTATAGTCATTCTATTACAGATGGAGTAATGTAAAGAAATTAATTTCTCCCTGGGATTATTAAAGTTTTTCTGATTCCTGGTTGTTGTGAAGGAAACGGTGCCCAGCTTGAAAGAGCTCCTGTGTGTCGCTGAATGTGTGCATTGATGACTGAAAGACATCTTTTGTCTCCATTTATCTGTTTACTACAGTGTGTTGATTTCATGTTAATGAGTATTTAAAGACATTTCAATTAGTGGGGGGGAAAATTGCAGGGGGGGAATATAAAAATATCAACTAACCATGCAGACCCTCATGCAGTACCTCCGTAGACCCTCTAGGGGTCGCGGATCCCCTGTTGAAGACCTCCGCTCAAGAAGATTTTACTAACACAAACTGAGGGACCAGGCTGAGGTAGGAATTTAAGGTTACTGAAGTGCGGATTTTTTTACTGAAAGCCGGCGGGCAAACTTGTTGCCATCATCCTCACCGACCACCTGGTCATAAAACTATTTTAAGTGATCATACTGCTGCTGTGTCGCCTCCACGCTGCTGTGGCTTCCACACGGCATTTTGTTTTGATGACCCACGCCGCTGTAGGCTACGACACTGGTAGCTGGTGTTGCCAGATTGGGTGTTTTTCCCGCTACATATTAAGGCCTGTTTACGGTTTGATTTAGCCGGGGTTTCGCCTGGAGGTCTCTATAGAAATTTGGCAACCTATTGAACGGAGCTGAACTGAGAGAGCGTGCCGTTCACAGACACCAGAATGAACGAGTTCACAATAACGTTCATCAGGCAGTAATGCAGTACGTTCAGTTCACGTTCGCCCAAAATATGAACGAGTTCATGAACTTTCGTTCAATGAACGCGTTCAGGCACAACACTGCCTGGGGAGCAGTGTGGGAAATAAAGGTCAGGGACCCAGTCCGTGGGAAGTGGGGCTCGAACTCAGAACTTCAGGATTCCAAGCTCTATGCGCTAACCACTAGGCGGCCACTCCCACCACCACTTACCTTCTCAATTCAAGAACAAATGCACTTATTTTAAGAAAAAATTACGATTTTTTCTAGTGAGATTCTTCTCTTTGTGGATCAAAGTATCTTTTTTTCCTGATGATTTTTCCTCCATGGTGATAGATGCTGTACAGCTTAAAGAATTGTTGCCAATGTTGTTTGATTTTTGGACATTTGCTACGACGCATAAACATTGCAACCATAGCAAGTTGATTTTTACTCCAGGGAGCTAATCATTAAGATCTCTAAAGCCTAAATAACACTTCAACTACTTCCTTAAATCCCAGCTGAGTTAAAAAGGAGGCACTGGAAAAGGAGAGCAGTACCAACGAGAAGAGAGAGGAGGAGAAAATTACAAGCCATCTGTTCCATCAATCATTATGGGCCATGTGAAATTTTAAGCAGCAAGTTAGAAGAACCCCAAGCCCTATTAAGGGCCAAGCATACCAGGAATGCAATATTATGCATCATATCCCAGACTCCAAAGTCTCCCTGCTTGGCTTCCTGGTCATACAAGGAGACAGGGGTTTAAAAAAAGGCTGGAAAAACTCAAGGACGGTGGGTTTGCACTGCTTGTGAACAACATAGGGTTGGATCCAGAACTTGCTACTGTTAAATTTCCTCCTTGCAGCGTAGCTATTGACTGTAGGTAGTAAGTTGGTACTATTATTTACACTGAGAGTCTTACTGTTGCTGACTCTACATGTTATTTCATCAGCTTCAGTGCTGCTAATCTACAGACATAAGAGCCTAAAGCATTTGAGGCAATAACTGGTGACTTTAATTATGCGTCTATATCTGCTATGCTTCCAATCTGTCAAATGCTGTACAAGAGAGGAAAAAAATTGACTTGTTTTATTCAAATGTGAGGGACTCAAAGCTCTCTAAGGTAAGATCTACTCTTGCGAAATCGGATCCCAATCTTGTTTTTCTCTGCTCAGAGTAAAAGTCCCATTCTACGAGGCAACCTCCATGTAGTTGAACGGTAAGAAGATGGTCATAGGAAGCTGCAGAAGCTCTTATGGTCTACCAGAACAAACAGCAAGCAGGACACACTGTTTGCTTATTGTTGTGAAGTTGGAGTTGAATATTCCATCATACTCTAATTTCAACAAACCCTCTTTATTTAAACCAGGCAGACATCACTGTGAGGATCATGTTCTGTGAATTCTGTGATGCATTTAACACAATTCAGCCTGGTGTGCTCTCAGAAACTCCAGAATACTCAGAGGCAGAGATGGGAAGTAACGAAGTACAAATACTTCGTTACTGTACTCAAGTAGATTTTTCTGATATTTTTACTTTACTTTACTACTTATTTTTATGGCGACTTTTTACTTCTACTCCTTACATTTTTACACAAATATCTGTACTTTCTACTCCTTACATTTTAAAAAATTGGCTCGTTACTTTAGTTTTGAATCATTTCAATGGAGTTACCGTTATTATTTTTCACGTCATCAATACCAAATTCTATGTAATTGGATGGGAATCTACGTTGCAGTTGACGCACCACTACAAGATGAATCGTCAGAATCGGTGGTATTCATTCGCGGCAAATCATTGCAGCTTGGTGGCTGTGGCATTAGCATAGTAGTATGGACGACGAGATGATTGAAAATAAACACAACGGAGATCTAGTCCTATTGGCAGACATCCATTTAAAATGTAGGCAACGGCATGAAAAAAGTGGTTTCTACTTTTACTTTTATACTTTAAGTAAATTTACAAGCCTGTACTTTGTACTTGAGTAAAGAAGTTTAATCAGTACTTCCACTTTTACCAGAGTATTTTTTAACACAAGTACCTGTACTTTTACTCAAGTACGGAAAGTGAGTACTTTTGCCATCTCTGCTCATTGGAAGGCATTAACAATCATCTGGATAAAAAGACCAGCTGACAAACAGACCACAGAGACTGAACGGTCAAATGTCTAACCAGGAAATCATAAGCAGGTACTCCACAGGGGACAGTACTCTCATCATTCCTTTTACACCTCTAACATCCAGTACAAGATAAAGTCATATCCCCTGCAGAAAATGGTCAGATGTCTCTCCATTTGTTGGGTGCATCAGAGATGGACAAAAGGTTGAGTCCAACAAAATAAGGAAGATGATTGTAGATTTGAGAAAAAAATGGAAAGTTGAACTGTATTAACACCATGGGAGAAGAAGAGGAGGTGGTGGAGCAGAATCAATACCTCAATGTTCAGCTAGACAACAAACTCGACTGGAGACGCAATAGTAAAGCCACCTACAAAAACATACAGAACAGATTGTACTTCTAAGGGAATCTTAGGTAATGTAGTGTTTGCAGTAAGATGCATATCTTCTGGGAAACAATTTGTTTTTATAAAAAAGTGCAAAAAGTTATTGGAGACAATAGCTTTCTCAGTTTCATCAAACAGGAAAGAAAGAAAGCTACACATGGATGCTTTAGGTGGAAAATAGATGTATGGAGTACAGAGAATTAAGGCCAGCAATAGCTTTGTCACTGCTTTCCTTTTGAGAAATAAACATACGTAAACTGTAGCCCTATATCAGGACTATGTTCTAAAAAAACAAAAACATACCTTTACACATTAACTTATCCTTGTCTGTGTTTTGCAGCATTTTGGGGATGCATCTGTTTGGGTGCAAGTTTGGTCTGCGTCAAGAAAGTGGAGAAACTTTGGCAGACAGGAAAAACTTTGATTCCCTGCTTTGGGCGACTGTTACAGTGTTTCAGGTAAGACAAACACTATCTGTTGCATGCAGCCAGAAAGAACAAACACATTGACTGTATGCTATTTCAAGGAGCACCACCACATTGGCCACAGAGAGCGTTCAGACCCCTTTCAAGTTTTTTAATTGTTTTTCAGTCACATAAGTAAAAACATCAATTGTTGCAACACTTATAACTGAGCTTCTGCACCTGTTACAAATCTTTATTTTATGTTTGTAAAATTGAAAAAAAGAAAATCTCTTTTCCAGAAAGCCTGTTTAAGCCTTTATTCTCCTAATTTCTTTGAAAACTAAGCAAAAAAGTTTGCCAATAAAAAATGACATAAAAGAAAATTAAAAAAAGGAAGATTAGAGCTGGATTAACCTATATTACATTTTAAAATCTATATTCACACTTCTGATATCAATGTGTCCATTTTCACTTATCTGTGATCTATTTCATAAGAGTTTCCAAAAACAGGTGTTTTCAAGCTATTGGGTGGTATAATCTACAAACACTAATTTCTGCAATCTAATGAAGATCTGTTTTAGTATTTTATATTCACTGGAATAACATAAACTGTACTGTATGGTAAAAGATTCCCATTAAAGCCGCTCTGATAGATATATTTTCCTGTTCGTTCTTTAAAAAACATGAAAAGTTACGACTATAACTTATAATCTTTGCAATTGTTTTATAGCATTCACTTTCTAAGCAGAATATGCCACGGACTTTTGTTAATTTTGGTTTTAAAAATCTTTTTATATAATCTTTAAGGATAAAGTACAATTTTTCAGTCGATATCAGTCGGAGAGAAGAGTTGGAAATCTAAAGGAGTTTTCTTACTCATACTTATATCTAGTCTCTTAAATAAAATATATATTTTGGTTGCTTCTGTATGCTTTCTGAAAGGAGAAGCAGCAAGAGGAGTGGAAGTTAACTTTATGACACATTTGAACTACCCAGCAACATAGTGGCAGTAGTGGTTGGCTTAAGCTAACTTTTGGGCATTTAGCTGGACAGGAGCAACGACTGACAATGAGATTTAAGGTACAATCAAATGGTGTGGTTGGTTATTTGATGCCTGTCATCTGACCAGCCTTTTGAAGAGCATCAAGATGGAGTTGATGCTTTGACTTCTGCCATGGTAGTAACAGTCAAACCTTTGGCAAAGGTCATAGGACATAAAACAAAAAAAATAAAAAAAAATAAAAATTGGAGTGCAGATTCTGGATAATAAGTGCGACCTCACTCTGACAGATGACTCTCCCCAGGGGATTCTGGTTTCTGGATCTTTCTCAAGGCACAAAGTGATATAGGGCCGATCTTTAAAGATTCCAAATTGGAGTGTTGATTTGTGTTGGTAAAAATTAATTGTGTGTGTAGTAAATGGGCATGTTGTGGCAGTTCCACCATATTTAAACAAGCACGTTGTGCGTGCTACTGGTAGTTTTGGAGATGAACTAAAAGAAAGGGCAATACACACTACACAAGAAATGTTCTGTCTCGCATGGCTGCAAGAACAAAATTTTATGGGCACAATTATTTTCTTATGTGGCGTTCTCTTATGCACATGCTGCTAAATGAGAGCTTTGTAGGAGTTCACTATTTAATTCTTGTGAGATATCCTGGGCGAAGACACCTTGGTTGTTGTAGCTTCCAGTGGCGGCTGGTGGAGTTTTCTCCAGGGGGGAGCTATAAATTCAAAATAGACGTATACCAAAAACCAAACATATAGGCCTACTAAGTTATCACACTAGTATATTTATATGAATGCCAACAACAAAAAACATTATGAAACACTTTATAAAATAAAAACAGAATTTAATGTACAGATTTACTTTTTTACAAAACAATGTGCCAGTTTAATAATGGAAAGGCTATTGGTCAGCTTTTTCCTTTTTTTTAACATATAAAATCTATTTTCTTAGAATGACTTTATTTATGAGCAACTATGCAAATTAGCGCCTCCGCCCAGCAAAGCAGACTATCTCCTTCATCAGAGCTGGAGAAGGACCAGCAGCTGTTGCCAGGGTCTCTTCCTCTGGCCTGCTCACAATGGCACAGGACTGGGAGCTGATGGCAGACTTGGGGAAACAACTGAAGTTCCCAGAAAATGTGGCCACAACATCACTAAGGCCAGACGTGGTGCTGACCTCAGCAACATCGAAGCAGGTTGTGCTTCTGGAGCTCACAGTCCCTTGAGAAGACCGCATCGAGGAGGCCAACAAGAGAAAGAGGGCTAAGTACAGCGATCTGATGGAGCAGCGTCGGCTCAATGGGTGGCGAGCAAGGTGCGGGCCCATTGAGGTGGGATGCAGAGCGTTGGCTGGCCAGTCCCTCTGCAGGGTGTACAGCATGCTGGGCATCACAGGGGCCAGCAAGCGAAGGGCCATCAAGGAGGCCACAGAGGCAGCAGAGGTAGCGCTACCTGGACACAAGCTGGGGTCTGATCAACCCCGGCTGGGTCGCCTGGAGGAGAGTGTATGATGTTTGAAAGACCCGAAACACTCTATGATACCAGGTAACATCACTGATGATGTGTCCAGGTTGCATCACTAGTTGATGTATGCACAAAGCTTATTTGCCTTTTCTAAAAAGTGCTTTAATTCAGTCCTACATGTCTCTATCCATCCTGGGTGAGATCCTGACATTTGAAAAAGGCGGCAGGTAAAGCAGAATAAAGCTATATGCTGCTAGCCAAGCTTTCTTGCTAAACCAGGTCCTGTAAAAGGACATTTCTTGCACCAATTTTCTCTCTCTCTCTCTCCAATACGTCTCCAACTCCCGTGACTCGACCTGTCAATCACCCGCAAAACATCTGCACTTTGGTGGGAGGTGGTGAGCAAATACACTTCCTGTCACCACGGGGTGCAGCTCTCCGGCTCCCCGATCTCTCCTATACCTTTGTATTGGGGAGGAGCTACCAAACATGTACAACTTTTAACGAGAGTCAATGGGCAAAGATTTCTGCGCCATAGGGCGGAAATACGTCACCAATCCGACAAAAAATGGAATGATGCTTTACTAGTCATTAAAGATTAAAAATGTATCTTAAATATCTAAAAATATATATAGATATATTTGGAAATATTTTACATTTTAATTTAAAGTGTAATTCTAAAAAAAAAAAAAAATTGTTTATGTCTTAATCAGGGTCATTCCGTGTGGGGCAGGGCAGCGCCCTAGCGCCCTCTATTAGCCATCTGCCACTGGTCCCTTCTATCTAAAGTAGAAGAATTTAATTCAGTTTATTTATATAGCGCCAATTCACAACACATGTCATCTCAAGGCACTTTGCAGAGACAATTCAACCAGCTCATTCAGTCAGATTGGTTCAACGTTCTCTATGTAAGGAAAACCAGCTGATTCCATTTTCATTGACTCGAAGGCAATCCCTCACTAGCATGCTTGTACAACAGAGAGGAAAACTCTCTTTTAACAGAAAGAAACCTTCAACAGAACAAGGCTTAGTGAGCGGCCATCTGCCGAGGCCCACTGGGATTCAAGGAGACTGAAGCAGACATACAGAAAGAAGCAGAGATACAAAAGGCAACCGACAACCAGCTCCACAGGCATACAGGAAACACACACCCAGGCAGACAAGCTCCGAGCCAACTCCTATGTCAGATGATGAAGAGAGCACATCCAGCCTGTCAGAGAAACAGGACTACACTTAATAACAGGCCAAGCCATCCACAAACAAAATGTTGATGGCAGCAGCACAGCTGATATTTCTCCCCAGGATGGTGTCACAGCCAAACAGGCACAGACCAGATGAAGCTACTATGGAAAAAGCAGAGAGAGCATAACTTTAGAGATTAAACTAACAAATGGAAGAATAGAGATGTGAAGTAGAATGATGAAAAGGGGTCTCTATGTCCTCCAACAGTCTAAGCCTATATCAGCATTTCTATAGAGATAGCTCAGGATAACCTGAGACACTTTAACTATAAGCTTTATCAAAAAGGAAAGCTGTAAGCCTATCCTTAAGGGCTTGTTAATATCCCACAGCACAAGGTCACAGTGAGCTTGTCACAGGTATGATGGAGATATTTTGGATTTATGCCCAATTTTAAAGCGTGGTCTGCCCTATGTTATACCAAGTCACAAGGCAAGAGGGACAATCACGAACAAGCTGCTGGTCTTGATGCGGCTGAGGTGGTGAGGAAGTGGAAAACCGCAAAAGGCCTCCTGTCTGCAGCACTGTCTTCATTCACCTACAATTTTGGAGAGGTCACCAGAGTGTCTGCGGGAGGGGCGGGGGGCATATTTGTGTTAACTGCGACACACACGCAGACGACCTGGTTTCTAAGTATAAACCAGCCTTTAAAAGTAGACAGGGTGTCTACCTCATGGACTAAAACTGGTAATAAATCCTAGTTCCACAGGAGAGGAGCCTAAAAGATCTGCCTCCCATTCTACTCTTAGAAATTCTGGGAACCACCAGTAAGCCTGCAGATCGAGAGCGAACAGCCTTATCTGTTCTTGCCGGGGATATATTAGCCTTACACTATATATTTATATACACATTTAAAAATATACCTTTATCGCTCAGGACAATGTCAGAAAGTCTTGTGATTCATTCTCTTTTTATTGGGAGAAGTCAGACAGGTCTGTTTTTGTTTTTGTTTTTTAATCAGCTGGAGGTTTTGACTTTGAGATATTCCAATTATGCCTTTTTTTGCTGAGTCAATTACTTTTTATTGAATCAGATACCGGTAGTGACTTATGCAATATGAGCCTGTAATGCTTTAGGTGGTGTTCTGTGTTATTTTTTATACCTTCTTTAGAAATCCTTTTTTCCGTCTTTTGTTAGGCAAGATTTATATAGCCTGTTTGTGGACATCCACAATATTTTATATATAACATCTTTCAAGCATTGATCTTAAAGTGCTGTAAAGCAGTTCACTAACATTTAAAAACTGTACATTGATATAACTTTATTAGGAAATATTGTCTATGGATTCCTAAAGCTTTGGAAAGGCTGTGTGTATCTTTGTTTCCCATCAGGTGTTGAAATTTATTAATCAATTCATTGCATATAGCTTTTTGGGATCTTCTTGTATATGTCCTATTGTCAGACATAAAGTTTGATCATTTTTCTACAGGTTGGGCACTAATCAGGCCTGGATGTAGTAAAGAAGTCAAATTTAAAACATGTTGTTTGTCACAGACAAGTCATGGCCAAATTAGTTTGGATAATATTTTTCATATAAAAAAAGTAAATCATAATTTGAAAACATATTTTACTAATTAGTTTATTCTAGTTTATCTGATACTAAAATGTTCTGTGATCATCTGAATTAATAAGGATGCGACAAAAAACTCAAATTTGAAACGTGTTAGTTAGCAAATGCTTTTTTAAAGTGCTGCATGTACTGTAGATGTAATTGTACAGTTAACTGAAAGAACATTCAAGCTATATCTGCTAATTATCTTCTTTGTAATTTCATCTCTCACAGCTGGGAAGCAGCCACACTCATTTTCACCTTAGCAAAATATAAAAAAAATCCCCTGGTGGGCAGGTAGAAACTTAACGATAAGAAAGGGGAGAAGCAGCAGTAAAAGATGCTCCTCACTGGAGATTATGCCAACACTTATGAGAAATCATTGTTGTTGAAATTAGAAAAAGAAAGGAAATATGTTCATGCTTAACCTTTCAAAACCCACCGGGTCGCTGTGGACCCGTTTTAAAGCGTTTATAAATAATAACTCAGAATTCATGAAAATTACACTAGTAAAATGTTTACCAATACATGTTAGACATCATTGGAAAGCTTAGATTCTCCGCAATTCAACCAACTAGTCCATTTTATGGACATAAGGAGCACCAAAGCACAATTAACTCAGATATAGCAGCATGTCAAAATGTACCATGACAAAGCATTCACAGCAAGCAAGCATGTCTTTATAACTGCTGTTCAAAAAAGACCTATTTGCGAGAATAAAAAAAAAAAAAAACGTTGAGTCTTCTTTAACCGATGCAGCTTGGGGTTTTACTCACTCAATTTTCATGTATATATTCAGAAAATAGAAGGTGTTAGCTTTTAAATAACGTATCACACATGTAATTTGGGCTTCAAGTTCTTAAGTTATTTGCTTTTCCATTTGGGTATACATAAGGTTAAAACCTCTGACTGTTGATTAATCTCCGTTTGAGGTAATTCAGTGTTGTGTGTTTTTTTTTTTTTTTATTACCCTAACGGTTTGACTTCTAAAACGACTGCTTTCATCTGCAGATCCTCACCCAGGAAGACTGGAACGCTGTGCTCTACAACGGGATGGCCTCCACATCTCCGCTGGCTGCCCTCTACTTCGTGGCCCTCATGACGTTCGGAAACTATGTCCTCTTCAACCTGCTTGTTGCCATTTTAGTTGAGGGTTTTCAGGCTGAAGTAAGGGCAAACATGCAGCTTTTATTTGAGCTACTTAGAGGAAATTAGCCTAATTGCACTCTGTTGTGTTGATGATACCAAAGCTTCCTACTGGAAAATAATCTCCTCTGGCTTTTTCATCTCTCTCTCCTCTCTCTCCCTATGTCTATCCGTCTTTCTCACCGACACACACTCACACTCCCAATAGTCTCCTGGGTGGGAAACTGTTTGATATCTCTTGTCGTTCACAGCTAGTGAGCTTTTGTTGTTTAGTTTCCATCTCTTATCTCTACCATCAGAGAACACTTGCCCTCCATCATGCACACAGACCCACACACACACGCACATATTGATACCCTTTACCAAAGCCGTCTGCTTCAATCTTTCTGGCGTGAATTTTAATTAAATTCAGTAAAGCTTTATTGGCATGACTACAGGAGATCACTGCCAGAGCAATGAACATAACTCAACTAGCAAACACTGGAGATTCCCTTCTTCTCCCCGTCTGTCTCTGGCTTTTTGTCTCTGAATCATTCCCTCCAAACATTCTGATGTCTTAAAACACTCAGCAGTGTGTGCAAATAAATGACATTGATGGTGATGATGATTAAGATTGTGACGATAGGGTGGGTGTCCCTGTGCATCTGCTTTTCAGGGAGATGCCAACAAATCTGAGGCTGATGACGAGAGGCAGTCACTGAGCTGTCAGGATGAGGAGAAGCTGAGAGAGCTGTACGCTGCAGGTGAAAGATGGGTTTTACTATTCACTTTTGAAGTTTTGTCAGAACCTAAATTTACCATTATTATATTACCTACCATTTACTGTAGACAATCTTTTTCCTGGTAATGGTATTACTAAGAATTAGATTATATTTTGCATTTAATAAATCATTTTTTAGGGATGGATTTAACCCTGATTATTACAACATGCTTTGATACATTCTTTATTCAGGCATCTCTACTGTAATCTAAAGCAACTACATTCGTTATTTTTAAGTTAGCAGACACAAAACCAAATTTCATTTTTTTGTACATTTTTATGATTATTTATATAATCACCAAATTATGATGTCCATTTAATGTCATGAGCCTCATGTACAAAGCATGTGTCTGCAGAAAAGGAGAGTGGTGGTCTAGTGGTTAGGGCATACAGCAGGAATCCTGAGTTTCTGAGTTGGAGCCCCACTCCCACAGACTACCACTCTGAAATCCCTGAACAAAGACCCTTAACCCCACACTGCTCCCTAGCGCCGCAAAAATGGCAGCCCACTGCTCCCCAAGGGGATGGGTTAGATGCAGACAGCTGATTGCATTGCTCTGTGCTTGACAGTGTAATGATAATAAAAAAGTAAAGCTGGAAAAAAAGATGACAAAATTAGAATAAGCACAGCAAATACATTTAATTCTTAGTAAGAAAGTGTGATCTGTGAACAAATACTAATTTAAAAGACTTGTCATATGCAGTGGATTTTTGAGTGCAATTTTAATCCTTTTCTCTGTTTCTCCTCTATGTCAACGCAGAGCTAAAGATCCAGGCCATGATGCTGACCCCCAATGGTGTCCTGAACCCCAAAGCTTCTATGCCTCACCCCGCTCCTCCCCTGCTGCCAGTCATCACACATACGGCAGCCACACCTATCATAAACTCCAACCAGTCCCGCAGGCCAAGCGGCGTTTCCATGGATGTGAACAGTTTGGAGCACAGAGGACTGGTGAGGCTGGACATGTCTCATGTGTCACGTTCTACAGATAAACTCAGGTTAACTGAAGCTGTAGAACAGAAAGTCTTTATCATTTATAGATAACAGATAGCACTAACAGAAAAAAAGAACTCAATTGAATAAATTATTCGAATCTTTCTTATCAAAAACAGCTGTTAATTGAGTTCTGAAGCTGCTTGATGCAATATCTGCCCTCATAAAACATTTGCCACAGCAAATATTTTGAATACAGCTAATGCTTTTCTGTTGGTCTTAAACTAGCACCAACTGTTGATTCACTGAGCCATGAAACACTTAGAGGATGACAAAAACACGATGTACAGCTTCAGTACAAGTTTTAATTAACAGAGCCTGCCAACGCATAGCCTTCATATTAAATCAAATAATTTCCTATTAAATGAAAAGTTTTGTGACGTTTTTTTTTCCTACCTTTTGTCTTTTTTGGTAAAAAAAAACTAAACAAAACAAACAAGCAAACACTAAGGCTGAGATTGTGTAATGACAGTAAATGACAAAGAGTTTAGTTGGTTTGAGTCATGTTTTCCTGTCTGCTAACTGAGTGTTAATTAACTAAATAAAAGAAAATACTGAAACTTTTACCTACATTGTGTCTGTTCAGATATGTATAAAACTGGACATATATCATATTAACAATCTCAATTGACAATCAAAAGTTAATAAAATTCACAAAAATGTGTTGCTTTTTCCAAATTTTATTTTTAGATTCTAAACAAAATCTAACATTAGAAAATGGGCCACAGGAAGGAATTGGTGCATATCTCCAGCTGTCTATGGGCGAGAGGTGGTGTACCCCCTGGACAGGTTGCCAATCCATCGCAGGGCAACACAGAGACAAACAACCATTCACTCACACACTTTTAGAGAATTTAGAGAAGCCAATTAACCAAACAGTCATGTTTTTGGTGGACTGGGTTGAAGCTGGTGTACCCGGAGAGAACCCTCACATGTGCAGGGAGAACATGCAAGCTTCATGAATGGAACCTGGAACCTTTTTGCTGCAATGGCAGTGCTACCAACTGTGCCACTGAACTCTCTAAAAAATACTTCCAGAATCAAATTCATATTTTATTTGAACTGGAAAAAATGTGGAAAACTTATTTTTAATTTTGAATGGACGATTGTGTTTTTCAAATTTCATACAAAATATGTGGGGGGCTGCTCAGTGGTGCATGGAGTTTGCATGTTGTCCCTGAGGATGCGTGGGTTCTCTCCGGGTACTCCGGCTTCCTCCCACAGTCCAAAAACATGACGGTTTCTCTAAATTCTCCTTAGGTGTGAGTGTGTGTGTGAGAATGGTTGTTTGTCCTGTTTTATCTCTGAATCTGAATTATCTCGGAAATAGGCACCAGCACCCCTCGCGACCCCACTTGGGATTAAGCGTGTCAGAAAATGGATCGACATACAAAATATAAATTTTTTAATTTAGCTTCATACTATAGACAGGCATGATTTGGACCTTAACTAAGTTTTCTCCAGCAACAGTCTTTTTGACCTTCCTGTTGAAGGTGCTTGAGATAAATAATTGCGTTAAGGGTACAAAAATGCTGACAGTTCTTTTTTTGGTCCCTCCACCTTTCTCTAATAGAAATGTGTCTGAATAAGGAACTTTTCTTAAATAGATGTCTTTAGTGATAGCTGGAATTATACACTGTTTGTTTAAACTCAGAATTTGTTTTGATACCATATTTTAAAGATGCACAATTGACCGTTAGTGGCGTGGACTTTTGCACAACATATAGTTTGGTACCTGGGGTCTGTTTCACAAAGTAGGTTCAGCAGAAACTCTAAGTTTTCTAAACCTGAAATCAGCAAAACTCTCAGTTTTCCATTTCACAAAGAGAATTTACTCATCCCCTTTTTTTTTTGTTACCATGACATTGTCCCTAGAGCTAACCTGGTCAGCAGATTTTTCTCATACAACTCGATGTTCTCTGTCTCTGCCCTCCTTAAAGCTGATCCTATTATTTTATTTCCTGATTCAGTCAGAAGAGTTTTCTCATACTTTGCAAGCAATAAAAAGAAAATACTTTACTAGGTCCGTTAGACACTTTAGGTGTTAAAAACAAACACATAGCATATCCTTTAGACAAGGACCCGATTAAAGAATGAGTGGCATTCATTCGTAGAGAATTAAACATTTAGTGGTAGATGGTTCTTAACTGCATACTATTCATATTTAGAAAGTTATCTTTATGATCGGTACTGTTTCAGCTCACAATCCATCAAATGCATCCACAATCTTATCCGTCCTAACAGATGCAGCATTACACAGACGTCTTTAACAGGTATTGAACAGCACTTGATATCAGTGACAATGAGACAACATTGATCTGTGTGATAAAAGCATTATAGAAAACATGCTCAGTCAAACATTAGTCCCACAGAATGGCTTCAGACTGTGTCTGCTGTACCTTCTACTAGGTTTCTAATGGGTGATAATATGCAGTTTATCCTTGACAACAGCCACTTCAGCTGGTTCTAAAAGCATAAGTTTTATTTAAAATTTACCTACTTTATAGTTTTTATCTACTTTATTTACAATGTATCTTTTTTTAACTGCGTTTTAAAGCATTACTTCAAATTAATTCCACATGTTACAGCCACACTGATTTATTTTGGGGATTAAAAAAGTTTACAGGATATAAGCCTTTTCTGTTTTTGGTTTGTTTAATATAAGCAACATGCAGATTTGATTTTGTTTTTTATGCAATACGTGGAGAACTACTGAAATTATTTTCAGATTGCACATAAATAGATTTTCTGTGGGGGAAAAAAATGATTACTTTAGGGTTAGAAATAGGATTCATTTAACCTACTGAGCCTACTGGCAAGCCATTCTATGGGACTAATAAACGCTAATAATGGCTGTTTAATGGGATGGAAACATCAGGAGCAGGTGCAAACAGCCACTTAGTTTTTACTGTGTAATGTAAGACAGAGTCAAACTTAGGAGGAAACCTATGAGATGCTGCACAGGTCCTGCACAGAATGTATTTAGAGTTCTTCCAGTGGTTGGAAACACTGATAATGTCTTTTCATAGTTGTAACACATGTGCTCAACTCGGAGTGAACTTACTCAGTTGATTAAACTAACTCACAGCAGCTGTTGTTAAAACCAAAATCTCAGTAGCTGTGTCTGAACATCCACCTATTAATCACTATATAGGGCACTATATAGTGGTTACGCCATTTTAAATCTGTGTCTGAAAGTCTAGTGGATGAAAAAGTAGTGGACTCAAAATTTCCCATGATGCCCCTTGAAAAGTAGTGATCATCCATGGTCACTAGACGAGCAGATATATCCCAGAATGCCTTGTGGGGAGAGCACAAAACATCATGGGATTTACTGTGACAGCAGTGATCATCTGTCTGTCTTTTAACTATAAAGTCCACTATATAGCTGCTTTACATAGTGATTGAGGGATTTAGGGGTTAGGGCGGACGTTCAGGCACAGCCAGAGTTTCCAGCTTTAGGCTAGATCAATTCAGAGTTGAGGATTTAAGTCTTAGTTTGTTAAAACTGCTTTGTGAAACGGGCCTCTGTGCATGCTTAAAAAGGCCACACATGCATTTGTGTACTTTACAGCTCTGATATCTATGTTTGACATATACCCAAATGAACTTTTTGTCTATTTAGATACACATACACGTTTCTACATTTTTCATAGACATTTAGCTGTTTTAGAGATTTATGTGAAGGTAAAGCCATGATTAGCAAGGAATGGCTTGGAATATTCATGTGGGGCAAACATGGTTTAACCATGTTATAATTTAATAGCAAAAACTCCAGTCCTCATCTGATTTGGATATATTCTGTAAATATTGTGCTGTTGAAAAAAAAAACAACTTTGGTTTATAAATTTTATTAAACTTTGGTTTATTAATTAATTTATCAAAATAAGGGCCAGAGTGTTTTGCCTTTGGTGAGTTGTTCTAGCTTCCACAGTTATTAGTCGCTTAGACTGAGGACAGGAGAGGTATGAAAATATTTACAGAAAAACTGTGGGAAACAAGCTTCTGCATAAGTTATGGTGAGAATCTATTCCCCTCTGCAGCTGCTTGTAGCTTTTGGAAAGACAAAATGACAAAACACATAGCTATTATACACAATGTCCATGGTATTTATAATATAAATACATAACATACACCATATCTTCAAATCGTCCCAGCTAATGAGAGAAAACCTATCTACTACATGTTCTGATTACTTGCTATATCTATCTTTACATTTATTCTAACTAACGAGCATTTGTAGCTCATCCGTCCTCAGAACATCAATAATCCATTTGTGTGGAACTGTACTTCTAATTCAAGGCCTTGTTGGTTTTTTTTCATATAGTGTGATTAAGGACATAACATTTCATCCAGGTACCATGCTGCATAACTTTGCGCCAGAGATTTTTTGCTGATGTCCTGTGATTTTTGGCAAAATATAAGATGGCTGCCCAGAGAGACAAGGAGGAGAATAAAGGTGTCAAAAATCAAGCGTTTTCCCATTGAATTTTCACTCTAGGTGAATAGTAGTTGATGAAAAAAACAACCTTTGGGAAACCCAAACAACAACAGAGGAAAGTAGAATTGAATTATTGCAAAAGGTTAAGATTTTAAAAAGAAATTATAGATGGTTCTGATATTTTGGGCAAATGGGCTTCATGCAAGAAGCGTTTGTACAAACAAATTTGTTCCTAAATCATTTTTTGCAGGAGATTTAGGAGAAACTGTTGCATTAACCGTTTTTCTCCTATTTCTATTCTTCTTTCTGGTATGACCCAATTTTACAAGTGCTCCAGACTTGACTCAGGAGTATTGCACAATCAGTCAGCTGTTATTCTAACCTAGTTTTTCACTAAATGACCAAATTTGTTGTTACTGACAAGCAATTGTCAATTTTATTAGGCTGCATCATTATATATTATGCAACTCTGCAGTTATAGATTACATTTTCCTTTGCTGATGACAGAACTACTGGTCACTACACCTGCAGATGGCATGTCAGTATCCAGGGGACACTGGTTTAATTTGTTCATGTCGTCAAAAGAAAAAAAAATAGTCAGTCAGCTCAATGTGAAATCAAGCTACAATTGAAATAACATCTGGAACAGAAAATTGACCGAATGTTTAGCAACACGATAAGACTTACGTTCATTTCACTCCATTGTTGAATTTTTTATTACATAAAATGTGTAATGTTTTGGATTTGGTCTGTCTAAATTAGTCAAATTAGAGTTTAGACAATAGTAATTTTATGTATATGCGGGGCATGAAAGAGATGGAGAGTGTGAAGAAGGGATGAGAGACGTGGTCTAGAGATTTACAGTACAGGTGTGCGTGTGTATTAAAAGGAGATTTAGCAGAATGATGTGTCCTGTTGGTTGATGGCTAACTCATCTTGATTTTTGATTTAATTTTTCTTCTGTAATACTTCGTCGTCGTCTCCCGCTTTATCCGGAACCGGGTCGCGGGGGCAGCAGACTAAGCAGAGACTCCTAGACTTCCCTCTCCGCAGACACCTCCTCCAGCTCTGTTGGGGGAAGCCCTAGACGCTCCCAGGCCAGCCGAGAGACATAGTCTCTCCAGCGTGTCCTGGGCCGTCCCCTGGGCCTCCTCCCGGTGGGACATGCCTGGAACACCGCCCGAGGGAGGCGTCCAGGGGGCATCCGAAGAAGATGTCCGAGACACCTCAACTGACTCCTCTCGATGTGGAGGAGAACCGGCTCTACACTGAGCCTCTCCCGAATGACCGAGCTCCTCACCCTATCTCTAAGGGAGAGCCCAGCCACCCTGCGGAGGAAGCTCATTTCAGCCGCTTGTATCCGGGATCTCGTTCTTTCGGTCATGATCCAAATTTCATGACCATAGGTGAGGGTAGGAACGTAGACCGACCGGTAAATTGAGAGCTTTGCCTTTTCGCTCAGCTCTCTCTTCACCAGGACAGACCGGTGCAGCGTCCGCATTATTGCAGCAGCCGCACCGATCCGTCTATCGATCTCCCGCTCCATTCTTCCCTCACTCGTGAACAGGACCCCAAGATACTTGAACTCCCCCACTTGAGGCAAGGACTCCCCTCCAACCCGAAGGGGACATGCCACCTTTTTCCGGTCGAGAACCATGGCCTCGGATTTGGAGGAGCTGATTCCCATCCCAGCCGCTTCACACTCGGCTGCGAACCGCCCCAGCGCACGCTGTAGGTCTTGGCAGGAGGGAGCCAGCAGAACTACGTCATCCGCAAAAAGCAGGGATGAGATCCGCTGTTCCCCAAACCAGACCCCCTCCAGTCCTTGGCTGCGCCTAGAAATCCTGTCCATAAAAGTTATGAACAGGACCGGTGACAGAGGGCAGCCCTGTCGGAGTCCAACATGCACCGGGAACAGGTCCGACTTAATGCCGGCAATGCGAACCAGACTCCTGCTCCGCTTGTACAGAGAACGGATGGCCCCTAATAAAGGGCCCCCGACTCCATACTCCTGGAGCACCCCCCACAGGGCAGCACGAGGGACACGGTCGAATGCCTTCTCCAAGTCCACAAAACACATGTGGACTGGTTGGGCAAACTCCCATGAACCCTCAAGCACCCTGCAGAGGGTGTAGAGCTGGTCCACCGTTCCACGGCCAGGACGAAAACCACACTGCTCCTCCTGCAGCCGAGGTTCGACAATCAGCCGGACTCTCCTCTCCAGCACCCTGGCATAGGCCTTTCCGGGGAGGCTGAGAAGTGTGATTCCCCGATAGTTGGAACACACCCTCCGGTCCCCCTTCTTGTGGAGGGGAACCACCACCCCAGTCTGCCAATCCAGGGGAACTGTCCCCGACCTCCACGCGATGTTGAAGAGACGTGTCAACCATGAAAGCCCGACAACATCCAGAGCTCTGAGATACACAGGACGGATCTCATCCACCCCCGAAGCCTTGCCACCGTGGAGTTTTTTGACTACCTCGGTGACTTCGGCCCGGGTGATGGACGAACCCAGCCCCAAGCACCTCGTCTCTTCTTCCCCCACGGTAGGCATGTCTGTCGGGTTGAGGAGATCCTCAAAGTATTCCTTCCACCGCCCGACAATATCCTCCTTCAAGGTCAGCAGCTCCCCACACTCACTAAAAACAGTGTTAGTGAAGCACTGCTTTCCCCTCCGGAGGCGCCGGACGGTTTGCCAGAATCGCTTTGAGGCCAACCGATAGTCTTTTTCCATGGCCTCTCCGAACTCCTCCCAGGCCCGAGATTTTGCCTCTGCAACCGCCCGGGCCGCGACACGCTTGGCCTCACGGTATCTGCTTGCTGCTTCAGGAGTCCCACAAGCCAGCCAGGCTTGATAGGACTCCTTCTTCAGCTTGACGGCATCCCTTACTATCGGTGTCCACCACCGGGTTCGGGGATTGCCACCACGACAGGCACCGCAAACCTTACGGCCACAGCTACGGGCAGCCGCATCGACAATAGAGGCAGAGAACACAGCCCATTCGGACTCCATGTCTCCAACCTCCCTCGGAACCTGAGAGAAGCTCTCCCGGAGGTGGGAGTTGAACACGTCTCTGACCGAGGGCTCCACCAGACGTTCCCAGCAGACCCTCACTACACGTTTGGGCCTGCCGAGTCTTTCAGGCTTCCTCCTCTTCCAGCGTATCCAACTCACCACCAGGTGGTGGTCGGTGGACAGCTCCGCCCCTCTCTTCACCCGAGTGTCCAAGACATGCGGCCGAAGATCAGAAGATACGACTACAAAGTCGATCATCGACCTTCGGCCTAGGGTGTCCTGGTGCCAAGTGCACCGATGGACATCCCTATGCCTGAACATGGTGTTCATTATGGACAATCCGTGACTTGCACAGAAGTCCAATAATGAGTCACCACTCGGGTTCAGAGCTGGCGTTGAAGTCTCCAAGCAGAATGATGGAATCCCCGGGAGGGGCGCTTTCTAACACCCTCCCCAGGGATGCTAAGAAGGCCTGGTACTCCGTACTGCCGTTCGGCCCATAGGCCGAAACAACTGTCAGAGTCCTCCCTTCAACCCGAAGGCGAAGGGAGGCGAACCTCTCGTCTACCGGGGTGAACTCCAACACGAGACGGCTGAGCTGGGGGGAGACAAGCAGCCCCACCCCCGCCCTCCGCCTCTCCTCGCGGGTAACTCCAGAGTAGAAGAGAGTCCAGCCTCTCTCAAGGAGCTGGGTTCCAGAGCCCTGGCTGTGCGTAGAGGAGAGCCCAACTATTTCTAGCTGGTATCGCTCCACCTCCCGCACAAGCTCGGGCTCCTTCCCCGCCAGTGAGGTGACATTCCACGTCCCCAGAGCCAGTTTAAGCGCCCGCGGATCAGATTTTCTTCTGTAATACTTCTACTACATAATTTAAAGCTTTTATTCCCCACTGCTTGTCTTTTACTCAATGTCTTTTTGTGAATTGCAAGGGTGGGAAGTCAACCCCTTACATGCCATCATTGGGGTGGCAATAATGCAGATTTACATTTCTCATGAACTCATGCACAGGTTGACTGTATCAGGTTTACGAAGATTATTTACGATCATTAACTGAAGTCAAGCATGTTTGTTGAATCTGATGTGATGAACTTGTAGGAGCCTGTGGTAGGAGAATAAGTAAGGGAAATTTACAACAAGCTTACGAAAATATTGTTGCATGAGGCCCAATATGTCTCATTAGGGATTAATATATCTTCTAGTTTGGCTTTAGAATCAGGAAATCTCAGTAGAATGAAAAACCTAAGAAAGAGATTTACTTTTGAGTGTACTGATCATTCAAAAAAATATACTTAGATTTTTTCTGTCCCTGCAGCCTCTGTGGGACAGCGGCCCAGAGAGCCGTCGCTCCAGCTGGAGCATCAGCCGTGCACCCAGCCTGCACCGGAGAAGCCAGTCAGGGGAGATGGAGTCCCTCCTGTCCGACATGCATGCATGCTCCATCCCAAGCAGCAGAGAGCAGTCCTTGGACCAGTCGGACCATCTACAGGTGCCCATGCTTTTCTCTCCGGACTGCAATGGCACAACCTTTCACCTTCCGGATCTCGGCTACGATGAAGCCCCGTCACATTACCCCAGAGATCAGGAAGAGGAAGAGATTGAAGAGGTGAAAGAATAATATTGAACCATACTTTAGTTATTAACATTCATTTAGAGCATAAACATTGCACGACAAAATACATTTATTTCGTGTCAACTATTAAATAGCAAAAAGCATATAAATGGTTCTCAGTCTAATGGTGCATCAAAGCAGGCAGCTGTTCTGTGTTTAATTTGATTGTTCTATGTGTGTGCTTTTTGCAGAGTTTATGTCAGAGGCTGAAAAAGATGCTGGAGCCATATGAGCCTCAGTGGTGCCGAGAACACGAAGAGTGGTCGCTGTATCTGTTTGCTCCACATAATGAGTAAATAAAAAAATAAATACTCCCCATGCTCACAAAAATAGACATGCCCCTGACAGTCTACTGTGTGGTCTTAAGCTGCAGCATGTGTGAAAATTCACAATGAGCATGTGAATCTTGCAGCTAACAATTAGTAATGCAATTTTCACATTTTTTCAATTAAAGGTGAAGAAAGTGTGACTATACTCCTTGTCTGGATCAAAGCTGTGATAGGAGTGATCCTTGTGATTTATGTAAAGCATGTAACTGATGAGTTTTGTTTTTTTTTTCTCAATGTGTCTCTCTTAAGGTTCAGGATGTGGTGTCAGAGGGTCATCAGTCACAAGATTTTCGATCACGTCGTCCTGCTTTTTATATTTCTGAACTGCATCACCATAGCACTGGAAAGGCCTGATATTCATCCTAAGAGCATGGTAGGAAACATGTGCAGAGAAACAAATGTGATTAATTTCAAAGTAACAACACTGTTCATAGATCTTAACTTCTAATCTTCTATAGTTCAAACCAGTAGTTCATGGAGATTATTTTAGTCTTGATTTTCGGCTTTTAAAGATGCATTCGAATTTTCCCCTTTTCATGGTGGAATCTACCGTAGTTTTTATCAGAACAAGTAGATATTTTTAAGCATAGTCTATAAAGTTTTTTCAGAACACGCTTAATATAAACATTGCAAAACAGAGTTGATGTTTTTGGGAACATTGTCTTGTTTGGGAATAAGCCCAAGAACCAGATGAAGCTTATCATAACCTGGAAAGTTCTGTTGCTGTCGACAGTGAGGCAACTTTAACATCAAAGTGGAGCTGCAACAATTTTTTTTTTGGTAATTGATACATATATTGATAACTTTGTTCTTAAGTGATTCATAATTGGATAGCTAGAAGTGTATAGCTGGAGAAATTTTAAAGAACCAGTTTTGGCTGAAACTATGCCACTTGAGGAGTGTGAATATAATGTGTTTACAGACAAAAGTTTGCCATTTTGCTCAACAGTAAACTACACTTTCAGCATTTTAATGATACAAGCAAAGCTGTCAGATTTCTGTAGGAAATGATTGCAGATTGGAAACACAAACATTTTTTGCAGACATTTGTCCGTTTATAACAAATAAATAATAATTGTGAATATATCAATCTAACATTTCATAAACATGTTTCTGCATTAGCAGCACAAGCTGACAAAACCATATTCATGCCATTCTTAAATTCTAATGAAGGGCCTCCTGAACTTTTCCTTAGGGTCACACTTTAAACGCCCGGTTTTCGAAACTCCTTGATTTTTCCATCCATCCTTCTTTTCCCACTTATTCCATCACAGTCAAGGTGAGGCTGAGTGCTATCTCTGGCAGTCTATGGGCGACAGGCGGGCACACCCTGGACAGGTCGCAAGTCTGTCGCAGGGCAACACAGACACATACATCCATGCACACACATTCACAACTAAGAACAATGTTGTGATAAGCCAATCCATAATGGTTATGTTTTCAGACTGTGGGACAAAGCCAGAATAATCAGAGAGAGCTCATGCATGCACAAGGAGAACATGCAAACTCCATGCAGAAAGACCCCAGGCAGGGAATCAAACCTGAAACCTTCTTGCTGCAAGGCAACAGTGCTACAAACTGCATCCCCTTTTTTTTTATTATCTTTTTTTATTAGAAAAAATTCAATTTAAAACAAATAGGTGCAACTATATACAGTGAACAAAAGGAAACTGCATCCCCTTTAGCCCTCTTGATTTCTCATTTGATGACTATTTCAATAACTGTTGACTTATCTTAGCTCTACATCAATTTTGTCTGAGGGAATACCTACTCCAAACAGCTTACAGTTCAACAAAATAGTTGCCGTCATGAGAAAGCAAAAGAGCTTTTACAAACTATTTAAAGGTTAGAAAAGAAAAGCAGTGAGATATTAAGTCAAATTAGGAAGAATGTTGTTTGGAGAATTCAAGCAGAGACCTTCAAACTTAGTAATACTGAGCCAGTTTTAAGTACACTGTTATGGCATTATGCAGCCGGCCACAGTAAATGGCTTTGGTAATGACACATTGCAGATTGTAGAGGAAACAAGGAATTTATTTTAACATTTTTATCTCCATCTTTATCTTAACAACATCGCTATATGCATATCTGACTAAATGTTAACAGCCGTATGCAATCCTGAAACCCAGGGATGGTCATTTTGCTCCAACTTTGAGACTTCTAGGGATGATCCAGATAAATTTTGGACACACAAGTTGGAAAAGCCCAGTTTAATGCAGCATAATACTGTTTCTTGAATAGCTCCAAAACCAACTACTAAAATGTGTGGACTATGTTTAATATCCAGTCTGAATTATGCCAGACTCTTTCCATGCTAATTAAATGTGTGGTGTAGCCTTTTAAGGGATAGTTCATGTAAGTGTTACATGAGGTGTATACATGTATTTCAGCCTATATATAATTTGCTTCCTGTGCAGACTTCAAATTTATCAATCCAAGACTCATTTAAAAAAAAATCAATTATTTTTGCTTTGTCTGGAGTAAAACCGCAGATATTTTGGTCAAACAACGTGGTGATGGTATGAATATGACAGTGGGTCTGGTAGCATTTTTATGCATGCTTGCTCAAAACTGTTTGTTAAACCTTTAAATGTCTGGAAATACCAGGATCAGATGACTTTTCAGGGCTACTTGTATTATGGACCAAAGCCAAATGTTAAATGCATCCTCACACATAGGCTCAAATTACACTGCTCCTTTTTTAAGTTACGTAAGCAGTGACTGTGTGATGGCAGGTTTTTGATATATTAATCAGCTCTCATTGCCCACACAGTTCTATGATGTACTATGGACTATCCTGGGATTATTATGATTCTTCAAAGCTTCACACATCAAAGTGAGAATCCTCCAGGGTTCCATTAGACTCGCACACTATTTGTACATACTTCCCTTTACCAGTTTGTGACGTAATGTCTGCACTCTAGGGATATGTGGATCAATTCAAACATTGATTGTACCAATTTCAGCATTGGTACAAGCATCGATCAATACTAATGTAATGGTACTGATATAGTTTCAGTAGTACTCGTCTACGTCTCACGTGCTGCATTAACAGTTTCACATCTTTGCACACGTTGCATCCTGTCCTCCTCCATGCAGCTGTGCACAGTTGTCTGCTGTCATGTTAATCAGCCGAGCTGGAAGGAGACATGCATTTTTGCTTTAGCATATGACAGCACTGGTGGGGCATATGGATGTGTTTTACAACCTTTTAAGCTATTTTTAATCATCAATCATCAATATTTTGTTTGTAACAGAATTTTATATTACCATCAATAATTGATTTTTAAATTACCTCTCAAAGCTGGTTATTTATTTAGTTCATTCCCACCATGTCGCCTGTGATTACACAGAGCCCCCTACCCCTCCATCCCCTTGGGAACTTCTGCATTAGCTGGTTTTGAAAATGTCAAGGATGCTTAGACATAAAAGTACATGAACTACTTTAAAAATGTTTTATTTTGAAACTTCTGGTTTTGTTTTGAATCTAATAAGAATTTTGTGATATCTCCAGCTATATATTGACTTCATTATTTGGGCTTCAAACCATTTTATCATTATATCAATTATGTCTTTGGCCAGATTTAGGGAGAATTATTATCAGAAATATAAACTAATTTGTAAGGATTTTTTGCTTCTGTGATTTATATTTGCATATCTACATGCACATTAGGTTAGAAATGCTAAAAAAGCCCTTAGCTGTGACTGAGGGCATTGTTTCTTGCCTCTGTTATGAAATGGTGACCAGTCGGGTTAATCCCCAAAATATCTTACTCTGACCTTTAGAATAGACACTAACTGTCCTTCTGTGACCCAGCATTAGGTGGCTAAAGAAAATGAATGGATGAGTAGATATTTGAAGTTAAGAAAAAAGGCTTATCAATGCTCCTTTTCTTTTCAGCTGAACTACACATAAGACGAGAGCCCTTGGGGTACAAAGCAGGTTAAATCCTCTAAAAAAAAAACTAATGAAAAAAGCTTTAGGGCTTCATTTGCAGTACCTCTAAATGCAGGACATACTTCATTGTCCCTTACAAAAAGAAAAGTAGATCATGTCCTCACAGTTTGAAAGTCAGTGGCCTTCGAATGGAAGTTGAGTTTTTTTCATTTTCATTTGAATTCATACGTAAGTAGATTAAAGTACTCATTTAAGCCACACAATAAAGTGTAAAAATTAATTTTGTAGATGCAACAATCATCTGAAGTTTAAACTTTGTAATTTGATTGTAGTTAATAGCCGGATGTGCATGATCGAGATAGAAAAAAAAAAATCAGGAAAAGACATGGTTGGTGAATCTTCTAGATATTCAACTACTTATCTTATTCACGGAGCTGTTTTTTTAAATAAATGCTTAAACCTTAAATGACTTTTTAGCAAATTATAATATTATAATATAATATAAAATTTAGCTCCAATATTTTTTTAAATGAAACTTTTAATTCACTTATCCTAAAACCAAATGATTTAATACCTTTACAAAGGCAAAGTAAACTAAATGCCTTTTTAACAAAATAAAGACACAAACAAACATTTTAAAATTACAAAGATACTACTATTGTTACACTTTAAAAGGAAATCCTACCAGAATTAAGTTAATTGATGCTAGTATATATTTTAATATGGAACATAAATAACACCTTAGGTAAATCACATAGGACAACATTATTTACACCTCTCATTTAGGGATAATTCACACTAAAAACTCCTGTGGTCTGCTTGTTTGGGCTCAACCAAAAGCAAACCGTATTTTTTGTTATTTTGGTTCCCTTTCAATTTAAACTCCATGCAAGTCAACTGTGTCTAACAAAGCCAGAAGTGGACAGAAATGAATAGGGCGGGATTAGGGACGGACCCAGAAATGAATGAAAATACTATGGCTCTCCCTCATGCAGCCAATTTGTTATGCATTTGTGTGGTTATTAGCTGCAAAACCATTGTGAGTGTCAATAGCAGCTCATTCAGTTCAGATTTTGAGATGCTCTATGTCTAATTTTGGAATGGCATCGCAGAATGAGTCCCACAAGCTGAAGGGAACCTACAGCGTGGTGGAAGTAGTGTTGCCAAGCAACAGACGATAGATCAGGTATCATTTTAAAACTACGTTTATTACAAAGGTGGCTTGGTAATTCCAAGGAGATGCTACAGTATGTTTTCTGTTCTTGGATTGGACTAAGGTCAGTTTATAATCAGGCTAGAGACAAACCGAACAGTTGTCCATTTGGAAGCTGATGACACCTACCCTGGCCAACTAGTCTAATTTACGCCAGGTATACTGCATAATAGTTTTAAAAGAGCGGGTAGAGCCCAATTTCAAAGGCGGGACTAACACAGTCAGTAAATTATAAACAATCAGTTATTGTAACTACAGATGTCACACTAAAACATCTTGTCTCATTTTAAAAAAATAGCTCTTACCGCAGCTAGTTGTTGAAATTGTAATGATTTAAACATTCCTTTTTGGACATAATAAAACATTGCTCCTTCACAGCTGTAATCTTGATCAGCTGGCCTTTCGCCTGCAGCAGTTAGCCTTTAGAGCAGGGGTCATCAACATGGCGCCCACAGGCAACAAGGGGCCCTCAAGGACCACATGGGGTTTCCCTAGGGTCATTTAAGAGCAAAACAATTCACCAGTTTGAAATTTTGTTTTATTTTGTTGCTCTTCTTTGTTGATCATTTATGGAGCATTTCATCATAGAGCATTTAAGCATTTATAAAGATTTTAAAATGACAACATCTAAAAGAAAATTAGAAATTTAAAGATACAATAACAATATGTATGCAGTTTAGATGAACGCTGACCCCTCCAGTTCAAAGCCTTCCTATGACTCAGTACCCATAAGTAGCCCTCGGCCTTAGAAAGTTTGGTGACCCCTGTTCTAGAGGCTAGCCGCAGCCAGCTGCTGCATCTATCTGCTCTGTGTCCCTGATTGGCTTCTCCAATGTACAGCTGTCTTCCTCAGGTCAGCCGTGGCCTCTCTTACGCCTTCAGCGCTCCGGCAGACTATTCCGATCTTCAGCCATCCTGTTTTGATCCTCTTTCTAGCTAAGGCTAACCAGGCAGTGTAGGATCTCTCCCTGCCTTTATTGCTCGGTTTTCTTTTTAGGCTTCTCCAATCTGGAGGGCCCCAGTTTGTCCCCACTCTGGTACTCTCTTACAAACTTGGACCAAGCGCAGGAGAAGGTGCATGTCCACTTAGGGGAAAATTCCCCAAAAATGAGCAGCTTAGCTGGTAGTCTTCATAATGACCGGCTGGTTGTTGGTTGTGGCTGATCACATGAAAACTGAACAATGACTAGTGCAAGTCTGAAATATTAACAAGCCCATTTAGCTTTGATGACAGAAAACCTTGGTTGCTTGGTAGCAATGCTGTTAACTGAGTGGTGGGGAAAATAGTTCTCGGCTGTATTGCTTCAATAAAACAAAAATATTGTCCTTTTTTTTTGGTTGTTTGTGGGTATGTTTATTTTTCCTTTATTTCATGGGCACTATGCAGGTAATCGTTTTGTAAAAGCAATAAGACCCTTGAATCCGTGGGTCACAGGGCTTATATCGTGCCCTGCCATCGTAAATCCCTCAAACGGCTTCTCTGGGCTTATTGCTTTATTAAAACTAGTAATGAACGACTGGAATGTGTTCAGACCATTTCCCAATGTAAATCAAAGTGGTAGATAAAACATTATTTTGCTGATGTTTTAAGCATCTATCTAACTATGATTTGCCTAACAGAATAATACCCATTTAGATAATTAATTCTCAATGTTATGTGATTATTTCTAAGGGAATTATAGAGGGGAACTTTGATAAGGCCGGGGGACACACTTAATTGTTTGATGAGTGGATATGTCAGAGAGGGTTTCAGGTTAAACAGTAACTAACAAGCTGGCATCTTAATTTGCTTCAAATCTTACAAAAATACCATTAATAGTACCTTTAATGTGTATAAGAAGACTAGCAACACTATCTAATGAATATTGAAGCAAACTGAACGAGTCAATAAATGAGCTGAAATATAAAGAAAGTAGCTAATGCTTAAATGAAGAAACTTTAATGGACCATTCAGTCATATTTTAGCAAACAAGTGTAATTAGTGGATCAGAAAACTGGTAAACATCAACGTCATATTAGTGTTCAAAATCTTATTGTAATACAGCTGGTCTCAACGCTTATAAGAGATGCTTAAAACATATTAGCACCTGGTTCAAAGAGGCTGGCTAGCTGTAGAGTTCTTACTAAGCTTTCAGTTAGGCTTTAAAAAAGTAAAAAACATATCACACATAATGAAAAGAAATAATTTTTACATTGCTAGATTGCTCTGCTGAAAACATCTTTTCATGTTCCTGCCAGATTTGGCACCTTTTTGTTTTCCACCATTCTGATAAAGGCAAGGGAATTTAAATAATCCAAGTTATGCTGATCATCACCTCTCTAATCCACAGTCTCAGCTTGGTCTCTGGTTTAAGTCTTTCCTGCTGTCAGAAGGTCAGACATTCATTGTTGCCTCCCCTATGATGGACTGTATAGGCCGCAGGATGAGGAGGGTTTGTCTTTTGGAGGATTGCAAAGGGAACCCAGTGGATCCTTGGATCCTCCTACTTTGGCAAAGTCCTGGGATATTGCTGTACACTAAAAAAAACCTACGAAAAAACATCAGGGTTTTACTGATCCAAAATTCATGTAGAGTCCATGTACAGAATCCTCACTTATTCATATATTTATCTCATGGCTGTGGGGCACTATTAAATCCTGAATTATCTCAGGGTTTATTTAATTTGTTTGTCTTGTTTTATATCTGCTTTTTCTTTTAAGATGATTAGACTTTATTTGCTTTTTTCTTACTTCATAATTGATAGGTCAGGTGTTCATATTCAATGTGATGTTTCTTCTTTATAATTTTTTCTATAAATTATTATTTAGAATATATACAAAAGACATCTCTTCTTCTTTTTTAGTAGGCTGAAATGAAAGAAAGGGTCAATAATCCCTCTATATAAAATTCATTTTATCAATAAACTAAGAAAATTTTTTGGTTTAAAAAAGAGATAAGACTGGTTGGTTTATGAAACAGTTGTTTTTTTGAAGCTGTGTATAGCCTTCACACATTGAGTAACAAAAGGGCGCAGAATTACACTGCTACCAGGAACAAGCTTGTGCTTTTGAAACAACAATGAAATTTAAGCAGCCACTTTCGCTGTTGAAGAGAACAATTTAGATTTGCACAGTTTTTCAAAAACACAAACCTTTACCACATGCTGAAGATAATGGGGGAAAAGACAAAAGAAGTTTCAGCCTGCACAGACAGGAGGTTCCTTGTTTGTAGCTGATGCAAAGTTAGTCTGAGACCAACCATCAAAGTATGTGTATTTTTTTTAGTATGCTTTTGTTTCCAATGCGTCTGCTATGGTCTTTTTTTCAGCTCATTATATAACACGTTTCTGTCCAGGATCAAAGCGAAAGCTACTGGGACACATAACCTTTGAAATAACAAATGGGCTTCTTGCTTTGTGAACACCCTCATACATGTGCCTTTGTGTGTTTGTGACAGGAGCGAGTGTTTCTCAGCGTGTCCAATTACATCTTTACCGTCATCTTTGTGGGCGAGATGATGATCAAGGTAACCATAACAGAACCCTTTTACTGCACAAGCATTTCACTCAAACTGCTTTATCTAATCTTGCTCATAAAAAGAAGCAATTTTCCCCCTGGGTGGGGACCAGAGGAGCTCTTCTGTCTCAGTTTCTACTCATATTTCTTTATTATTTAAGCAATTCAATTGGATCTGTGTTTGTCATAAGGTTGTAGCAATGGGCCTGTACTTTGGAGAAGGTGTGTACCTGCAGAGCAGCTGGAACATATTGGATGGCGTGTTAGTGTTTGTGTCCATGGTGGACATCTTGGTCTCCATCGCATCAGCGGGTGGTAATCGAATCCTGGGCATGCTGCGAGTCCTTCGCCTTCTTCGCACCCTGCGGCCACTAAGGTAGGAGAATGGGACTTTTCCACCTATTTTGTATGTTTTCACTGTATCAGTATACTGAAGTATTTCTTCTCTTTAACTCGTGACTAATCTATTTTGGCCTCTCAGACTTCCGGCAAAAATTGGCATCAAGAACATGAGATAACTGAGTAAGGAGGAATTTTGAACAACACCATCATGCCAGTTTGTTTTGAATTAGCCATGCTGTAATGACTGTTATGGAAGCACATCCTACTAAAATTGCAAATGTGTGCATTATTTTACAGTTGTTAAAGATTCAATAAATATTAAGAAAGAAACATGCCAATTTAGGGCCATTATTGTCTTTTATTGCACCAAAGCATATAAATTTAATTTACTTACTTTGACTAGGCCACTGTTTTTTTCTTAGCCATTAAGTGCAGGGATAGCTGGTTCTTTGTGTTTTTATAGCCCAAGTACATCTGAACACTAAGGTGAAAAACAGATGGCCTGGCATTCTTTTTAAGGGTGTATGGTGTTGTCATTTACAGCATGTTGTTCTGAAGCATCAAAGTGGCCCCATTAGAATGCCACCACTGTATTTAACCAACAGTATGAGGATAGACTGTGTTAATTTTAACCCGCAATTAATGTGACACACCTTCCAAAAAGTTCTACTGATGTCACGTAAGTCTGAGGCATGTTTTTCCAAAAGTGTTGGGAATCATCAAGATCTTGCTTTTGCAGATGTTTTTGTTTTTCGTCAGCTGGATTTAGTGTTGGTACTTAAACTCACCGGCCACATTATTAGGTACCCTGTGCTAGTAACGGGTTGGACCCCCTTTTGCCTTCAGAACTGCCTCAATTCTTCGTGGCATAGATTCAACAAGGTGCAGGAAGCATTCCTCAGGGAGTTTGGTCCATATTGACATGATGGCATCACACAGTTGCCACAGATTTGTCGGCTGCACATCCATGATGCGAATCTCCCGTTCCACCACATCCCAAAGATGCTCTATTGGATTGAGATCTGGTGACTGTGGAGGCCATTTGAGTACAGTGAACTCGTTGTCATGTTCAAGAAACCAGTCTGAGATGATTCCAGCTTTATGACATGGCGCATTATCCTGCTGAAAGTAGCCATCAGAAGTTGGGTACATTGTGGTCATAAAGGGATGGACATGGTCAGCAACAATACTCAGGTAGGCTGTGGCATTGCAACGATGCTCAATTGGTACCAAGGGGCCCAAAGAGTGCCAAGAAAATATTCCCCACACCATGACACCACCAGCACCAGCCTGAACCGTTGACACAAGGCAGGATGGATCCATGCTTTCATGTTGTAGACGCCAAATTCTGACCCTACCATCCGAATGTCGCAGCAGAAATCGAGACTCATCAGACCAGGCAATGTTTTTCCAATCTTCTATTGTCCAATTTCGATGAGCTTGTGCAAATTGTAGCCTCAGTTTCCTGTTCTTAGTTGAAAGGAGTGGTACCCGGTGTGGTCTTCTGCTGCTGTAGCCCATCTGCCTCAAAGTTCGACGTACTGTGATTTCAGAGATGCTCTTCTGCCCACCATGGTTGTAACGGGTGGTTATTTGAGTCACTGTTGCCCTTCTATCAGCTCGAACCAGTCTGGCCATTCTCCTCTGACCTCTGGCATCAACAAGGCATTTCCGCCCACAGAACTGCCGCCCACCGGATGTATTTTGTTTTTCGGACCATTCTCTGTAAACCCTAGAGATGGTTGTGCGTGAAAATCCCAGTAGATCAGTAGTTTCTGAATTACTCAGAACAGCCCTTCTGGCACCAACAATCATGCCACATTCAAAGTCACTCAAATCACCTTTCTTCCCCATGCTGATGCTCGGTTAGAACTGCAGGAGATTGTCTTGACCATGTCTACAGGCCTAAATGCACTTAGTTGCCGCCATGTGATTGGCTGCTTAGAAATTAAGTGTTGACAAGCAGTTAGACATGTGTACCTAATAAAGTGGCCGGTGAGTGTATCTCGGTGCAAAGATGACTGTGGGAAATTCATGTCAATTATATGGTTCAATAATCAAAATAGACTAAGACAAACTTTATTGTCATCTTGCATACACATCTTGTAAACAAAACAAAACCATACAAAACTATGCATACAGCTTTACAACAGTGACATGAGCACCGTACAACAGTGAAATCAATCCATTATAAAGTGCAGCAGAATGTAAACAGTGTAAGAGAAAAAGAAAACCAGTTTGTTCCAAATGGTGCAAAAGGCATTGGTGTGGAAAGGTTCAGAGCAGTGCAAAACAAATAAATATGGTACGAATTGCAGTAAAACATTGAGTTGTGAGAACATCTAAGCACCTTACTGAGGGAAGACTATTGGTAAATAGAATAAAAACACAAATGGGACTTGGACAGTGACAAAGGAATGTTAGCAACCAAAAACAAAAGATTAAGAGTTCCAACAAAGGAATCCAAACCAAATACATAAAGGAAAGAACAAACACACAAAGGATGGCAGAAAGACCATACAGCTAAAGAAGTGAGGATTAAAGCAGAACACCTAAAGATCATGGCAGGATGCCTTTAGTTCCTCAGTCTTTTGTTTTTGGGTTGTTGATTTATGACCACAGGCCTTAAATAATGCCAGTAAGGACACTAGAACATTAAATATTGTTATGGATATTTTTTCTGACCTTCCAAGTTGTCCCTTGGTAGGGTAGCCACTCACTGAAAATGCTTTTCTATTTATTTTCTATTGTGGATAGTTACTTACTATGCTTTGTTGGTGTCCTAATGATATTACTTCCTAATTATCTCAAATTCAAATTTTTTTCTTTTCTTCTTTTGGTCTGGAGCGTTGTGTGTTGCTTTTCGAAACTTCATGTTGTCTGATAGGTTTTTACGCAAGTCATCCCTTATTTTGACAAGTCAGCCAGTATGGGTGTTTCTAAAGAAATCAGACTGAATAAATGTGGTTGATCACACTGCTTTAACTCATGATTTAACAAATGGGGGCCACACAATACAATATACTGCAATACATTGTTTGTTTTTTCCCTACTAAATTGAAACATCATTGGCAAATTTGCCTACTGCAGTTACTCATTTGGACATTATTAATTTTCTAAAAAAAATTGCAGGGTGATGCACAAAAAGAAAGCAGAAAAAAAATCTATTGTAGGTCAATACTTACCCATAGCACTGTACACATCTTTGTCTCTTTCAGGGTGATAAGTCGGGCTCCAGGTCTAAAACTGGTTGTAGAGACCCTGATCACATCTCTCAGACCAATCGGAAATATTGTTCTCATCTGCTGCGCATTTTTCATCGTGTTTGGGATTTTAGGAGTGCAGGTAAGCTATCCTCTGTTATGCATAAATCATCTCTAAGAGTCACAAATGTAACCTTTTTTTTTTACCCAAAACTTGCCTGTGTTTTCTGCTGAAAGAAAGATACTACTTTAAGGGTTTTAAAACAAATGAGGCAAAGCCCAGAAAGGTTTCAGGTAATAAAAAGTGAGGCAGAAAATTGTGAGGAAATGCAAATGAGTTGCAGATTATGCAAAAGAGTCCCTTGAAGTAATTAAAAAAAAACAATGACTCTACTGAGGGATTGTGCTGAGAATGGATTCTTTAAAGCAGATTTTAACCAACTTAAAGATTTTTAAATCAATAATTCAGTGAATACTACTTGTTCTTTTTTGTTTGTATTATTAATGTTGAGTTCTTTTACCAGAAAATGTTTATAGGATAATGTTAAAGTTTTATCCTTTTCTTAGCTTCCTTTCACATAGACTTTTATATTGACCATAGAAGAGTGTTCTGGCTTTCTTGGGCTTTAGCTCATCATTCATTTTCTGTCCCGTCTATCTGCTAATCACTTAAACTCAATTAAGTCTGAGTTTAAATGATTGAAAGTTCCCCAATAAATGACAAGTGAAGAGCTACCCCTAGAGAACAGCTAGTCCAAAGTACACTGGATCATTAAAGGGGTCATAGAATGCAAAACTGAGTTTACATGTTTACATTCTGTAATTTTCCTCTGGGATTATTAAAGTATATTGAATTATGATTCTGACATTGTCATCCATGAATAACGATAGTTCAGTAGGTGAAATGGACGTACAGAGAAGTTCAAATCCCTTCGACACCTCCTTTCTCTGCAAATCTCACGATTCTAAACTTCCACCATGAAATGGGCGAATCCAAACGAAGCACCGAATTGACATAAACTCAGGGATGTTGCCTTATTTGGTTCGGCCTGTAGTTTTGTCACGCACCCGAAATTGACATACAGACCACCCCACTGGTTCACTGGCTCAAGGGGGGAAGGTGGGGTTGTGGGGGCCAATGAAGTGTCGACTGCTGGGCCGCTGAGTGGACCGGACCTCAGGCATGTTTTGGGGTGGGTAATCAACAAAAATCCTGGACGATTTTGAAATTCCTGCCGAAAATTTTTTTTTAGGTATGAAAAGTAGGACATGCCCGGAAAAGAACGACATCTGGTCACCCTACAATATCAACAATTTCAATGTTTCATTGAATAAGAGCTTATTGCTATGATGCGTCTTTGCTCAGCAGCTTCGCTCGTCGCAAACCAACCAATCAGCGCACAGCTCATCTAAATATTCATGAGCATTCCATAAAAGGAAAGAAACCTGTCGTTTCATTCTAGGCCTCTTAACCAGGCTTGCATTAGGGCTCATAGAACAACAAAATGCCATTTTTAGCCAAAGCAATGTGACACACTCTATTTAGAGACTTTAAGGACCAGCTGCAAATACCCTATAAAGTCATTCTATGACCCCTTTATTAGCTCTTAGAAACTCCTATAGCAGTCATAACTCCCAATGATTATTTTCTGTCTAGCTATCAATTACAGGATTTTCTTTAAAAAAAAAAAAGAATCATAGTTTTTAGACATTTGCAAGCATTTATTTATGACAGTCGACTTAGTGCGTCACAGTGCGTCAATCAGGTAATTCGGCCACTATAACACTGAATCGTTCCTTTGTCTTCCAGTCTGCTGTAGATTTGACCCAAAAATCCATCCAAACACACAAAAGTACAAATATAGGCCTCATTCTTTACCTGATCACCTACAAGATTTATTCTGTCATATATGTTGTAATATGAATAAAACTATTTTCAAAGATTTAATCAGAAACAAGTAATTAAAGATTATTTGCTTTGTTACTCTATGTGAAAAGAACAACTGAGTTTAACATTATTTGACTTGGAAAAATGGAAAAGCAGCCGCAGGTAATGGAGCCTAGGTGAAAGTTCAACTGATGAAACTCATTACTTTCCTACATCCACCTGCTGCACAGCCAATAAGCTTTGAAACACATCTCCATGAAAGCCAATCGGCTTCAAAAGTTCATATTTAAAGGCCTCCGATTCGCAATTTTCTGCTCCTGTGCGTAGGCGGCGGATGCACTGTGTGGCTTTATTCAGATGACACTGTTTCAACCCACGTCTATGCCTGTCCATGCTTGCTCATCATGGACAGGTTCTCTCAACCTGTGTTGTCCAAACTGGACTCCCATCTTCCAGGTCCTTGAGTGAAGCTCTAGCATCAGCTCACGCAATCCACTGGATCTCCCTATAAAGCTCAGCATACCGTCTCGCTAACCAGCAGTCTACAGACTGACCAAATTCATCTATCTCCACTCCACCACCAGTTTCAGGCCTGGGCGAGGGGGACAGCCCTATTCTTTACTCCTGTTCATGCATATCTATCAAAATTAAGCGCTATGTTTCCTGCCGAGGTCTGAGCGCCAAGGACTAAAGTAATTCTATCAATAAATTTCTACCAATTGTCTTTTATCTCCATGTGAGTTTTTCAGATTGAAATGGATTCTATCAAAAGCAGTTGGTTAATGTCGTTCTTTTCATTAATGCCCTAATTTGGGAGCAAAAGAATAGTGTAAGAAAGGCTAGCTCATGAAAGAAAAATATATTAGAGGAATTAGTCTATATATTTTTTACAGATCTGCATTCTGACATAAAAAGCCTTTGTTGTGTCTTATTTGTCAAAACATTTAAAATTTAATAGATAGCTTCACTTATTCAACTCTTGAACATTGTTTTAAAAAAGTACAAATTGATGGGTAAATCTGCTCTTATTACATGTTACTCCCTTTTTTAATGCTTACAATCCACCGGTAAACATTTGATTGCAATAGTTCTTGTTTCTGAGACTTTTAAATGTGTTCCTGCTCCTACACATTTGATTCAGAGAAATGAAGTCATTATACACAACACAAATATACTTCTCACCTCTGGTGGTCCTTCTATATATTATTGTGCTTTATCTTATAAAGAACATTTGACTAATTACATTTTTTAGTATCTTTTTTCATTTCTTTTGAAATTTTTATTAATCCTATGATTGATTTGTCTTAAAAAAAACATTACCTTAATAGCACCTTGTGCAACTGCTACATCTAATTGATTTCCCCCTATAGGGATCATAGGTGGATTAATGACCGGGCCTACCGGGCCCAGGCCCAGGGGGCCAGAGGCCCCAAGGGGCCAGGCCAACTTGGCCCCGCGGCCGCGACCCAGGCACAACTACTTTTGCAAAAATAATAATCTTAGTCCCCAAGGGGCCAGGCCAACTTGGCCCCACGGCCACGATCCATAGAGGGTAAGAGGCCCCAAGGGGCCATGATCCATAGAGGGTAAGAGGCCCCAAGGGGCCAGGTCAACTTGGCCCCGCGGCCACGACCCACAGAGGGCCTGAGGTCCTAAGGGGTCAGGCCAACTTGGCCCCGCGGCCACGATCCATAGAGGGTAAGAGGCCCCAAGGGGCAAGGTCAACTTGGCCCCGCGGCCGCGACCCACAGAGGGCCTGAGGTCCTAAGGGGTCAGGCCAACTTGGCCCCGCGGCCATGATCCATAGAGGGCCAGAGGCCCCGAGGGGTCAGGCCAACTTGGCCCCGATCCATAGAGGGTCAGAGGCCCCAAGGGGCCAGGCCAACTTGGCCCCACGGCCACGACCCACAGAGGCCCCAAGGGGCCAGGCAAAATTGGCCCCGTGGCCATGATCCACAGAGGGCCAGAGGCTCTCAATCATTATTATCAAAGCTAATTCTCAAATTGGATGGATCACACAACCTCACTCACATATTCTTTATCAATTATTAAAGGTTGTTTCTGAATTTTGATCACAGAACTTAATGCAAATATTCTTGATTGATTGACAAAGCTCATTCTCAAATTTTGATTACACAACTTTACTCTGACAAATTATCATTATCAAAAAACTCTATCTCGAATTTGGATCACAGGTCTGTTCCCAGGTCTGTTCTTTTAGAATCTCCTCATTTGGTATTTTGAACTCGTGAGAGACTGCTCAAAATTTGGTTTCCTTTCCCTCAGTTCAGACTCAGAGATAATTTGAAATCATTCAACAAGAAGTTTAACGCGCGCGCACACACACACAAGCACACACACACACACACACTTGAGTTGAGCATTACTTGGAAATTCTTATATTTTCCATTTTGCTGTTACTATCAGCATCTTCCCATTTTGTCCTTTTCTTTCGAAAAAGTTTACAGTCTGACATTTGTCACTGCTGTCAGTTAATAACTTTTTGGTCTTTGACCCATTTTGTCATTTTCTCGATTCGATCGTCACTGACCACTCTCTCCTGTCTGGCAGACATCGTTGCTGCCATCATAGCTAGCAAGCTGCCTGCAGATAGCAACATTTTGGTGTCCTTTTAGATAGAAGACAAAAGTGCACAAAGTTGTACAATTATTATCTTTTCAAAATATTTGTTTCACTGTCAGTGTGATTGACCGACTTTGCCGCTAGATTTCGTGTCTTTTGGCCATACCTGGCTAGCGACTAAAAACATCATTTAGCGACTTTTTGGTTGTGAAGATAAGTGGTAAAAGCAGATCTGCCTGTTGGTCTTCCCACATTTTGCCATTTGGTACTTTGCACTCTTGTTGGTCACTCCAAGGCATTTGTCCCTGCCTTCAGCTAGTCACTTGGCTCTTTTGGAATATATTCCACTGTAATTGGCTCTCTCTCTCTTTCTCCACAGTACAAATCAGTCTGTTCCCTTGCCATTTAGACATTTTCTTGATTCGATCATCACTGACCACTCTGCTCTCCTGCTGTCTATCAGACGAATCAGTTGATTCTCTGCTCTCAATTGTCTATGCTAGTAAGCTGTTATTCTCTGCTTTGGAGTGTTGATGCTGGGTTGTTAGTTTTCTAAATCACCTCACACACTTGAAGGAAGCAGCACCGATCATAAACACACAAACAAACTCACACACACACACACACACACACACATAGTTGGTTTATCTGTTGTGATAGGCAAAGAGCCAATGTGCAAAGAAAGAAGGGAAATATGGATCATAAACGTTTAAGTGGAGGAGCTAGAAAAAAAATTCAGCAAGAAAAGAAAAAAAAGGAATCAGTTTTACTTGAGAGTGTTCCAAATATCTCCAGCTTCTTCAGTACAAAGACATCTGCTGAAAGCAATTCTATAAATGCTACTGCAAATTCAGCTAAGATTAGCACTGCACCTGAGCTAGCATGTAGCTCCCAAGATCCTGAGACCACTACAAGTGTAGACACTGAACCAAATGCTTCTGATGCTTATGATTCAACCAATTCAGCAGTAGCCAGTTGCTCGGATGAATGTGAGGTCACTGCACCTCTGGACAGCATAGAAAATGAGCTGAATCTTTCTTCAACACCATCTACAGTGACAACTCTACCTAGTGATCCCGCTAAATGGGCTGAGACCCTCACTGAGTCAATGAAGGAAGTTCTTATTCAAAGAGGTGCAAAATCATTTCACAACCGTCACAGCCATTATCCAGCTTCTGTGAGGAACAGTGGGCTAGGAGGCAAAACCCGATGCCTAAACAATGAACATTTTACTTCACACTTGCCCAATGGACAACGAGTACAAAGAGAGTGGCTGATGTACTCTCCCTCTACTGGTAATGTTTACTGCTTTGCATGCAAACTGTTTTCCCCAAAAACGCATTCTTTTGTGACAGGCTATTGTGATTGGAAACACTCAGAAAGATTTGGTGAACATGAGCGAAGTGCTGAGCACATAACCTGCATGCAAGCAGTCTTGAACCGCGCCAAAGGTGCCACAGTTGATGCAGACCTGTTCAAACAGTTTCAGGCAGAGAGCAGCTATTGGAGGCAGGTGTTACAAAGAGTTGTTGCAGTCATAAATTCCTTGCAGAAAGGGGCCTTGCATTTAGGGGTAAAAATGATTCGTTAGGGTCTCCTCTCAATGGGAACTACCTTGGTATTCTGGAGGTCCTGGCTGAATTTGATCCCTTTCTAAAGGATCACATCAGAAAGTTTGGGCAGATGGGTCGAGGTAATACCTCATATCTGTCCTCCACCATTTGTGAGGAATTCATTGAATTGATGGGTGCAAAAACCAAACAGGCTATAGCAGATGAACTGCAAGCAAGCAAATACTACTCTATCATTGTGGATTCAACCCCAGATTTATCTCATGTGGACCAATTGACATTCATATTCCGTTTTGTTAGCAAAGAGGGCAGTGTTGTTGAACGCTTTGTGGGTTTTGAGCCCATTACTAGCCATACAGGTGAAAGTTTGGCTAACTGTGTCATGTCTGTGTTGGAAAATCTAGGGTTAGAGCTGTCAAATTGCAGGGGGCAGGCTTATGATAATGCCAGCAACATGTCAGGGAGGTATAATGGGTTGCAGGCTCACTTAAAGAAAAGCAACCCATTAATACACTATATTCCATGTGCAGCTCACTCTTTGAATTTGGTGGGAGTCAACAGCATTGACAGATGTGGAAATGAAGTCTCTAAGTATTTTGACTTGATTCAGTCTATTTACAACTTCTCAACTGCATCCACACACCGATGGGACAGGGTATTTGGCAATTCCAACATAGATCTCACACTTAAAGCTTTATCCAACACGCGTTAGAGTTGCCGTGCAGAATCTACCAAAGCACTGTGGCAGAACTACAGTAAAATAAAAGCAGCACTACAGGTTATTTCCACTAATGACACAGAGAAACGAGACACACAAACTGAAGCTGACAGTCTAGTGCGGAAGCTGGATTCACTTGAGATGGCCTTCATGGCAGGCTTTTGGGACACTGTTCTGTCCAGATTTCAGGCCACAAGTCTGCAACTTCAAAAAGCAGACATGGACCTTGGTACAGCAGTTAGATTGCTGGAATCTCTGCGCACCTTTGTTCTCTCCCAAAGAGATCTATTTGATCATTTTGAGCAGAAAGCCTTAAACATGTTGGGTGGCACCCCATCTTACAGGGCTGAATGGACGAGGAAACGTAAAAAGTTTGCTGATGAATCAGCATCCCCAGATGTTGTGCTTGAGGGAAGGCAACTGTTTCAAATAGAGACATTTATTGCCTCTATTGATCAACTGAGTTCAAGCCTTAATCACCGTCTGGAGGCCTACAAACATCTGAACAATTTGTTCAGTGTCCTTTTCTCTTTGGATACAGAGTCCAATGCTTCAGTCCTTCACAAGGCCAAGATTCTCACTGAATCATACCCATCTGACCTCAATGAAAGTCTTGGACAGGAGCTTATACAGTTGAAATCTTTTATACAGCTCAACAACACTGATGAGGAGAGGACCCCTTCAGGACTGCTCAAAACAATAATACATTTTGGACTACAGCCTACGTTTCCTAATACATACATTGCGCTACAGATTTTTCTCACTCTACCGGTCAGTAACTGTGAGGGAGAACGCTCATTCTCTCTTTTGTCAAGAGTAAAAAATGAGCTGCGCACAAGAATGACTCAGAAAAGATTAAATGCGTTATCTCTAATGGCAATTGAGAGTGAGCTGACAAGAGAGTTGGACTTCAATGATGTGGTGGATGATTTTGCAAAATTGAAAGCACGAAAGAAACCCCTTGCTTAAAGGTGCACTGTGTAAGATTTTTAGGTTATTTCCAGAATTCACCCATTCACTAATGTTAGGCTACCTGTTTTCATGAATACTTACCACCACCATAAAATACTTGGAGAATTGCACTTTCGCCATTTCTGGGAAGTGTCACCTGGATTGTGAAGATAGGATTGACTTTAGGCAGAAGCTTGGTGCTTTCTCTGGCAAACTGAACCTCAAGCTTCATTCTCTGCAGCTTTGCATTCTTGTGCAGACTTTCATCCACAAGGAACTTTTCAACTTCCCCACTATCGTGAAGGGGCCATCAAAAGATTTGAGTGTGTCCAGCATGTCTAGTCTCTTACTCTCCTTTCTTTGAGCCATCTCTTGTTTCTCATCTGCCCTACTCTCGAATTTTGCCTTCATGAATTTACTCCAGTTGAGTTCAACCTCCCTTTTTGCTTGTGCTGCTGCCTTGAAACCTCTGAAGCTCCTGGCACTTCTGTAAAATTATTGACCTATTGACTGCGTTCAGTGTGCCCAACTTCTTCAGTTTGTAGTCCACCTTGCCACATTGTCTCTCCATCCCAATGTTGTGCACAGGGGTGCCATCAATGTTACTAGCCTGTTCACTGACAGGGTCCATTGGGAAGGTCTCCTCATCCATCCTCTGCCTGGCCAGGACAGTCTTCAGATGGGGCAGCATGAGTTCAGGACATGTCCAGTGCCTGTCCAGCCACTATAGCATTCTTGGAAATGGGCTATCTTGACCTGTATGCAGCCCTTGTACCATGAACTGGCCTTTGTGGTGCTCTCCGATGCATGTTATCATTTTACCTTTCTCCTTCTCCTCAAGCTTAACCACAAATAGATACAGACTTTGAGCCTCAATTTGCTGCACAGCTGCCGTTATGCCAAAGTGTTTCCTAAGATATTATTTTATTTTTAATGATAGAAGGGAGGAAAAGGGGGCAAAAATCATGTCCGATTTAGTTTTTTGGGTGGGGTGGGGGGTTTATTTCATGATAGCTACCAACTTCCAATACATAATATCTCTCAAATGACCCAATGCACCATCACTGAAGTGGGCATAATCATTTTCCAAAATGTTTATTTTTAGGCCATTTATCCCCTCCCCCTGTGTCTGTGTGAAACCTGTGCTTGTCAGTGTCTGTGTGGTATACCTAATAGTGTGTGTGTGCAGTATGTGCACTCTTCTGTACAGGACAGTGTGCATGTCTGTTCACAGTGTACAGTATTTCTTGCATAGTGCGTGCGTGTGTGTGCGCCCGCACGCGCGGGGGGTTGAGGGGCCAAGACCATGTCAGGCCCAGGGGGCCAAAATTTCTTAATCCGCCCCTGATAGGGATGCTAAGATTCCGCTTATCTCCCTATTACTAATTGTATGATTGTTAGAGAAATTTATGTGCTCATAAGTTCCACATTTAAACTGATGATTAGCCAAACAGCTCCCTCTGTTTCTGCCATCTTCTCTGAGAAACTGTGAGGCTTGCTGAAAAGCCTTCTCACATTCCTCCGCTCTCTTATAAACAAGGCCACTTTGTGAACACCTTTTATCTGAAAAATACAGAATACAAAGAAATATTTGACCTAAAATGACATCACTAAAAGCTACTTTTGTCTTAAGACTCTTTGTGAAAAGTGGTCCATCGGAAGCGCTGGTTTATCTTAAAACTTTACAATACCATTTCAGGTTTATTCCTCACTTTACTGGTGTTTGCTGGTTTCATGCTGCTGGATTATACAGGGATTACATGACAAATCTATAAATTTAGTAAGGATTACATTAAATGGATCTGAACACAAGTGTGTGCAATATTTTTTCTCTTGATTTATTTTTTTTAATTACACACACCTTTTTTTCTTTCAGTAAATTATTAACCCCACTTTGTTTTTTCTATCACATAAAATCTCATTAAAATACATTGAAATGTGTTGTTGTAACTTGATAAAATGTAAAAAGCTTCGAAGAGCTGTGAATTAGGCTCTGTGCCTACTGCAAATATACCCGCTAATATTCTCATTTAACTTTTGCAGAAGAGATGAAGCCTTGAAGCGCTGAAGCTGACATTTTGGAGTCTTTTATTTCTAGGAACACAGCATCAGCTAATTATTTTCTAAAAAGAGCAAACTCTGCAGCTAGTGTGCAGAGAGAAGCATTGTAATATGTGACACTGTTTTTCACTGCAGACCAATGAAACTCATCATCATGCTCTGTTGCTTTTTTCACACGTAGAGGTCAGAGTTTCATGTATTTTTCTACATTCTCACCTCTCTAGCTTTTTAAAGGCAAATTTTTCTACTGCGACGGGCTAAATGTCAGCAACATCACAAAGAAAACCGAGTGTCTGCAGGCAGGTTATCGCTGGATTCGGCGGAAATACAACTTTGACAACCTCGGACAGGTTTGTCACACACCCACACATCTTTTTGCTGTGACGCCTATTTGTGAGAAACTGATTGTCAGCGTGCATGGCACTGATTTAAATTCGCCTCGCCCATGCAGGCTCTGATGTCACTCTTTGTGCTGTCCTGTAAGGACGGCTGGGTGAGCATCATGTATGACGGCCTGGACGCTGTTGGGGTGGACCAGCAGGTGAGCATAACAGTGAATGTCGCAAAGGCATTCAGATCTTTTAGACAGTGAATGTTTTTAGTCTTTTGTTCTGCTTAATCTGACTGTTTGACTGAGGAACAGGAGAAATATTTCAGATGAGAATTATTATAAGGGGAAGAAGGAGATGGATGAATATTTGTGACAGTGCTGGCAGTTTTACTGCTGAGTCAGAACTTACATTGTCTCATTGCTTACGCTCCCCTTCTCCTCTCCTTCTTACTGTGCTTGTTCTTTTGCCCACCTATCTAACTTCTCTTCCTTCTTCTCTTACTATCCATGTCCTTTTTTGCAGCCCAAAAGAAACAACAACCCTTGGATGCTGCTGTTCTTCATCTCTTTCCTCCTCATTGTCAGCTTTTTCGTGCTCAACATGTTCGTGGGCGTGGTGGTGGAAAACTTTCACAAGTGTCGCCAGCAGCAGGAGGAGGAAGAAGCTAGGCTGAGGGAGGAGAAGAGACAGAAGCGGCTGGAGAAAAGGAGGAGAAGTGAGAGAGCATTATGGTGGTGGGTGGGGATGGACACAGAAACGATAACTGGCAGGAGTCAACTTTAATATCAGGGTCATCTGACACCAGAGCATCCTGCATTTAAAAGCTCTTCCATAAATATTGGTTAAAGTATGTTGATGCTCAGCTTATTTTCACTTTTTTTTTTTTACATTTTAGATTAAAATAATCGAAGTTGAAATAATGAACATTATATTATGTTAAGATTCAGAGAGATTTATAATTAAAAAGTGAGACATATTTAGGTGGCACATGATGTTCAAAATCTGAAAGGTACGGGTGAGTGTTTGTATTCAGTCCTCCTGTAGAACCAGATCTTTAATTTTTCTTCTTTAAAGGAATAGTACACCCAAAACATGATTAGCCTTCATTTTCTACTCACCCCCATGCTGAACAACACTCTGGAGTACTTTTTTGATATCTCAAATGCATCTGGAGATCTGGGAGGCTTCTTGCTGTCTGCTGACATTCAAATAATGGAGGTCGATGGTGACCGAGACAGAAAGGTCCATAAAAGTCCACAAAAAACGTGTCAATATTCCTCCATACTGCTCGTCCAATGTATTCCAAGTGTCCTGAGTGGGTAGCATCCAGAATTTACTCGAAACAAAGTCATTTAGAATGTTTTTAGAGCATAAACAGTAGTGTATAGGATTTTCTGAAAGCGCGCACACGCGCGTTCACGACGCTACGGAAGCCGGCAGACCAAACCAGCGCATTCAGCTCGGCAAAGAACTCATGCTCTTCCTCAACACTGAAGTCCTCAGATATTTTTCTTTCGTTGTTTCTTTCTTTGCACAGGTAAACAGCACATTTCTTCTTCTACGCTTGCATTATCGGCAGAGCAGACGCTGAATGCGCACTTTCATCTGGTTTGATCTGCCGGCTTCCGTAGCGTCGTGAACGCGCTTTCAGGAAATCCTATACACTACTGTTTATGCTCTAAAAACATTCTAAATGACTTCGTTTCGAGTAAATTCTGGATGCTACCCACTCAGGACACTTGGAATACATTGGACGAGCAGTATGGAGGAATATTGACACGTTTTTTATGGACTTTTATGGACCTTTCTGTCTCGGTCACCATAGACCTCCATTATTTGAATGTCAGCAGACAGCAAGAAGCCTCCCAGATCTCCAGATGCATTTGAGATATCAAAAAAGTACTCCAGAGTGTTGTTCAGCATGGGGGTGAGTAGAAAATGAAGGCTAATCATGTTTTGGGTGTACTATTCCTTTAATGTCTTCAAACCTACAGCTAGAACAAAAGAGATTCCCCCTAATTTGACCAGATAAATAAGATGAACTGTCAATGGTATGACCATTTTTGACCTTTAAATAAAATAAGATATTATGTACTTGAAGTAAGAAAATTTATTATTATTTGTTTTTGTTTTGCTTAATTTAAACGTAAACCATTTCATCTAATTTTATCCAACTATATTACTTGCCTCTTCAAATATACTTATTTCAAGAATAATTTACTTTTGGAATTCAACTTGTGATTATTTTGCTAACCAATAGCAAAAAGCTTCTTAAACCTTAATCTAGGTGCTTTGGCATTTCCCATGTTTAGACAGTGTATTTTTCCAAGGCTCACAAAACTTCTCTAATCACCAGATGACAAGCCATCCACTTTTGTATAATACTGGGAAAAATATACGATTTCTCGCCTCTGAATGGAGCACAAAAGTCCATAAGCAATTTTTATTCATGAAACACTAAGCCTCTTCTACATTTTAGGCATTTCATAAAGGATATTGGAGCCTGTGATGGTCCTGTTTTCACCTTTATCATTTTCTACACATTTGACCTTTAAGACTTCATTTAATTAAAAACAGGAAACTAGATCAAATATGCAATAGACATGTATATCAGCATGGTCTTTTCCACATGGTGTATGTCTAATAACACGCACACTGCTGCAAAACTTCTTTATTTGCTGCAAAAACTAATTTCTATATTTATTACACTCAGGACATGCACGTACATTCATTTTTATTTATCTGTTTTTTACACTACCACATTGGTGACTCACTCCGTCCACTCTTTCTCTGCAGTGTAATCTCTAGTAGTGCTTTCCTCTTACTCAGTAGCAGCAGATAAGCAAAGATTTTCTGCCCAAAGACACCTTGAGGTGCCTCGGAGAGTGTGTGTCCATGATGGATAGGATTAAATTCCTGAGGTGGCACTTTTAGTCAGCACACACGCAGCGGAGTGCCACCTGGCACCCGCTTCATCGGTGACTTCATAGCCCATATAATATTTTTCTTTTAGAAACATTTTAATGACTGTCTGTGTATGTGTGTGCGTGTGTGTGTGTGTGTGTGTGTCTCACAGGGGCCCTAGAGAAGCCATATTACGCCGACTACTCCCCGCTGCGCCGATCTATACACACAGTGTGCACCAGCCACTACCTGGATCTCTTCATCACCATCATCATCTTCACAAACCTTCTCACCATGAGCATGGAGCACTACAACCAGCCTAAGGTAACCATGGCAACTCCTACTGCTACCTGTCCCAGAACCATAGTAATGAAGGGAGGTACAGTGAGGAACAGTGGGATTTTTCTTTCCTCCTTTTTTTTGTAAGTCTTGTCTTCTCTTTGTGTCCTGCAGTACCTGGAAGAGATACTGAAGTATTGCAATTATGTCTTCACTCTGGTTTTCGTGATTGAGGCGATTCTGAAACTCATCGCCTTTGGCCTGCGACGATTTTTCAAAGAGAGGTATTCATATTAATCAACATAAGGCCTTAAAGGGATAGATCAGACTTACTGATGTGAGCTTCGAGTGAAAGGCTATAAATAGTAGTTCCAGCAGTAGATAATCTGCTTGTTGTCTCTGTCTGGGCTGTACTTATTTAAAACATCTGACCTGCCGATTTATGGTCCTTGAGACCAGATATTGAAAATACATGTGTATATTGAAACTTGCATTTATGGATCAAAAATGTCATTTGTTAAAACTAAAATATAAATTGTACATTCATAGCGGAACTCTCTCTCTCATTCTTGAAGGTATAGTGGAAGATGTTCTTTTTCTGGGTGGATCATCAAAATAATTGGTCTTCCTAATTGTCAATCATTCTGGTGATATGTTTACATAAGGCCATCCTACGTGCTAGTCCCATTTTTACTTGAGTCTGACATAGTGAAAAAATTTCAAATCTTCTTTTGGAAAGCAAGCTTGTATGAGTGATGCAAACAGCAACTTCTAAATAGAGCGTGCACGATGAGAGATGGGAACGTGCATGCTCTCAAACGTGTTTAATAGGCATCTTCTCTCGGTAGCAGGTACAGGGTTGTGCATGTGCATTTGGACAGGGCGGGTCTTTTCAAACATTGGCGAAAATCCTCCACTATACCTTTAAATTGTCATGGTTTTATCTAAAGCTCGGACCCACATGCAGAGAAACCAATTCAGAGAGACCAGGGGAAAAGGTTTAACAGGTTTTATTGAAGAGATAAAGCACCATACAGTGTTGCTCTGAACTCTGCTCAGCCGGAACTGGAAGGTGAGGGGAAGACACAGCAATTAGTTCAGGCTCAGTGGGAAATTTCATTCGTTGGATTTGGAGAGGAGGATCTGGTTGTAGACTCACATTTCCAGAGAAGTTGTAGAATCTTTGACTCCAATCTGTGTGCTGGTTTCCAGTGTTAGTCTGATTCGGTGGAGGGCGGAACAGAGTTTATCCAGAACACGGTCGGTTGTAGGTGAACGGAGAAACTGACTGCCACTCAGATTGCCTGCGGTACTTGAACGGGTCGAAGTGGAGAGGATTCCCTTGCTCAGTGTGTAAACTCATCGTCCTCTCTGGGAAACTGGGTCCAAACCTCCAGTTTGTATCCTCAGCTCAGTTTGAGGCTCAGTTGATCCCTCCAGGGAGTGAAGGTCCGAAAGATCCAGTTTGCGGAATGACTTACTGCTGAGAGGCAAAGACAAAAAACAAAGTTTAAACTCAGGTTGACAAGAACTCAGTCTTACTCAGCAAAAACTCAGCTTGGCTAGAGTACCCAAAAATGGCAAACACTCTGGCGTTGAGGTAGTGGCAGTCAGCAGCTTAAGAGCACTCCGTTAACAAGGTAACCATCAGCAGGTGTTTGAGGAGGCGGACCAGAACCAGGCGCCTCCTGTTGGAGGAAGGGAGACAAACACAAAAAACATACACACAGACTGGAGCCCTGACAAAATTAGACTAAAAATGTGGTGAATTAACTTTAAACATTCAACACCAACACTGGAATTTTAACACATTTGATTTTGCCTCATAGCATTAAACAAATCGTTCGACTTTCGTTGTTTCTTACACAATATGTTCGACTGCTTTGTATTTTCACTGATTACAGCGTAGAACAGTGTTTCTGTTTTTTGTTGAGGTTGTAACAGTAGCTATAGCTCACTAAAAGCAGTGGTCAACAAGCGGAAAACTGGAATGCATTTACCTTGGAAGTGTCACTCCATCTTCTGATATTTGAATTTCGAGGATAATCATAAATTATCATATCTCTGTCTAGCAGTTAGCTTTAGTTTCTTAAAGGAACTACTCTGGATTAATGCCAAACAATTTTCTACCTGTCGTGGGAAAAAGATTTTGAACTATTTATTCCAGTTAAATAGATGGATGGATTTCGTTCAGCCAGAATTTTATTTTATCTTTGCAATGGGAGAACAAGAAACCATACAGTCCTTATTGCATGATATTTATCCCTGTTCTCATTTAGACAGAGTTTGTCTTCCTTTCTTACAGTGATAGAAATACCAAAGGTGTGTCAGACTGAAAACAAATCTCTGCCCTAAACATAGACAGACAGTTTAAAGAAATGTTAAGAAAATCCCAAACACTCCCTAATAACACCCCCTCTCTCTCAGACATGTTGATGGCCTTGGAGCTCTGAGGCCGAATGAATAAAACTCAGCACTCATAATTATATATATATATATATATATATATATGGGAATTAATAGGAGATGATAACAGTTAAAAAGCAGAAAACTGGAACACATCTATTTTTAAAGTGTCCCTCATCTTCTAATATTTGAGTTTCGAGGATAATCATCAATTATCATATCTCTAGCTAGCAGTTTTGCTTCTGAAAAAAACTACTCTGGATTAATACAAAATAATTATCTACTGCGGGAAACATACCAACTACTTTTTACTTTCAAACTGAACCATATTTTAAATGTTTTAGATGTAAAGAAAAAGCTTTTTTTCTTTTTTCTTTATTAGATGGAACCAGTTGGACCTAGCTATCGTGTTGCTGTCCATAATGGGAATCACGCTGGAGGAAATAGACCTGAGTGCTTCCCTCCCCATCAATCCCACAATTATACGGATCATGAGGGTCCTCAGAATAACAAGAGGTAACACACTGGAGCAGAAATACACACAGAGTAACATGTATTGTAGCTGACAGGAGATGACATGTTGTGACGTTTTAGTGCTGAAGCTGTTGAAGATGGCCACAGGGATGAGAGCTCTGTTGGACACCGTGATGCAAGCTCTGCCTCAGGTAAGAAGCCGGCCTGATGCTGTGGAGTTAAAGCAGTCTTTTCAACTATTTGTCTGGTGGTCAGAGCTGATGAAAGGCAGGCTGCTTGTTTATTATTATACCGGTATATGCAGCAACTTGTCAGTGACCCCTGTCTGCATGGTTTGCAAACAGCAGATTTCTCCAACCGACTGGCATTAAACCTGCAAAACCACCAAACCACTATGCAAAAGCAGCAATTAGCCTGAGGCAAATTGGCTACAGGCTGATTGCTGATTCTTGATCCGTGTTGCATTTAAATCTCCAGGTTGATTATGTTTACACAGCACGCAGATTTACTACAGCTTTGTTTTACTGCTAGGTAGCTGCGAAGAGATAAAAATATGAGCCAGTCTGAAAGCCTCTCATTAAAAAAGACAACCGTTTTCTCTTCATAAAAGCAGGATGTCAAAACACAAACAAGTTATAGAAATGCTAAAAGATAAAAAAAACTTTCATGAGTTTAAAAAGCATATATGTATAAAAAATATATATAACAGGAACATTTTTATATCACTATAATGAAGTTTATTTTTTATATTTTCACATTTATTAATTAATAAATTCCTTAATTCCCGGTAAAGTTTATTTTGCTTTATAATATATTTTAGTTAGATTTTTTTATTCAATAATAATTATGTTTTAGTTTATACTATCTTTAAAAAAAATCCATTGCATTTACTTATTTGCTGTTCAGTCTGATGGTAGCACTCGTAAATGATGGGTCCTTTCTGCTGCTCCCTCATTCAGAGGTCGCAGCACATTACAGCAAGTCATTCTAACTTACACTTAGACTTGGCAGTCTAAGACTTTACTGGATACCCTTCCTGACACAACTAGGTTTCAAACTTGAACCCCTAGACCATACTGAGGGACTTACTACATTCTGAATAATACACGTATATTCAAGATCAGAAAAAAGTCCCAAATGACCAAATAACTCTCCTGAAATTTCGAAAACCATTTTGTCTTAAAAATGTAAACCTTAAAGGGGAACACTGTTTTTTTTACTTAGGCCCCTTGATTTTACATTATTACATCATGTTCTACTCACCCATATGAGTTTTGTATCATTTGGAGCTGTTGTGAAGATATTCCGTTAGGTTATATCCAAGTAACGTCTTCCTATGGGCAGCGACTTGAAGGCACAAACTAAACTGTTCATAAAACAAAGCGGAGTGGAGTCGTAACAGGAAGCCCGGACCACAGGCGGCTACGCTCTACCCCTTCTATTCATTCGGCTAGCTAATCTGAATCGTTCAATTCCATTTCGAGAGCGAGATCATCTGTGGTAGTAGCATTAGACATCTTTCAGGCATGTGAGTAAAAATAGCTGCAGTTCAGCGGACAGGATGAAGGAATGGTAGCCGGCGCACGTAGATTTCGTCCAACACACTGTTTTTAAAACATATAAATATAAAAAATATAACCAAAAATGTCTGGGGGACAGGGAATCGCCTACATGTCATGAATGCTGGCGTACTATAAAGAATAAATTATGAACAGTTTAGTTTGTGCCTTCATATTGTTTGCCCATAGGAAGACGTTACTTAGATATAACCTAAAGGAATATCTTCAGAACAGTTCCAAATGATACAAAACTTAGATGGGTGGGTAGAACATGATGTAATAACGTAAAATCAAGGGCACAATTTAAAAAAAAAACGTCGTTCCCCTTTAAGGAAATTTAATGGCGCCAAAAAATAGGATGAAACAGTTCAACATTGTTGTCACTCATGTGTTGTATAGATTTATGGCACCAATACTTTAAAGGCCCTAAATGCCTTACAGATAATGAAGCTTCATTACTCGACTTCATATATATATATATATATATATATATATAGAAAAACACTTGGTTACTGAAAGTTACCGTTTGGTTTTTTAAAGAAAATTTCTGTTTGATTTAGGTTTTCTTCTGTAGTAATCTATATAGGCTGGGCTCCTCAGTGAAGGGTAAGGATGTTCCTGTGCAAAACTACAGTTATTGGACTCCTAACTGTATCTTTCTTTTTTGCCAAGTGTAAGACCATTATATGTACCAATTCAAAAAGATGCATGGTATTCCTTAAATAGAAAACCTACACCCTTTGATGATTAAATTGATTAAACATCTTTTAACCTTTAATCCAGCTCCTGATCCTAAAAATGCACAGAAATTTGGCACTGAATTGTTTCACAAATCAATGAAATTACTTATAAAGTGAAGAAATAAAATCTGATTATCAAATTATCTTGCTATATGTTACCAGCTTAGAATACTTTATGTATGATGATGAATGAGGTGAATACAATTCTTCAGGAGTGCCAAGCCTTCATTCATTTATATCATTATGTTTCCTGGTTGACAAACTGTAATTTTAGGTGCAGTTTTATGTTTAGCTTTTTCTCACCTTAAAGACCAGCACAAGCCATCTTAAACAGTGCCTGACTGTGGCTGTCACTAGACTAAAGTTTTAGTTCTAGATGACGTACCAGCTAGACAGTGCCAACAGAAAATGTTTTGCCATTACTGCATCCACAGCATACAAGATCAGAAGTATTATTAGAGGTTAGTGATGAAATATATTTGATTTACTGTTCATCAAAAAGCCAGAACTCTTCTATTACAGGAGGATCTTTGTTAGTGTGCTTCTCTGGTGTATAAAGATGTAGATGAACATAATGCCAAGGCTCAAGGACAACCTTAGAGCTGGAATTGTTTCTGCAAAGGTTATAAAGCTACTTCCAAACTCTTTGAAATATATGGTCCAGCATATTAACAAACAAAAAAGATTTTAAGGTTCACTGCTATCTCCTCAAGGTCAAGCTTTACATTAATCAGAAAAACAGAACAAAAATCTAGAAATTAATCTCAGACTCTAGAGGAATCAGTAGTTGTTTCAGACGTTAAATGTCTAGGTTTATAAAAAGAACCTTGGATAAATATGTTCAGTGCTCGAAAGGATCGCCATAGGCAATATGCTTCCCTAAAAAGAGAAGTGGTAGAAAAGCCTAAAAAGACTTTGCTTTAAACACTGGGGACAAAAGAAAAGATGCCTGACTAGATCTCACAGAAACGCCTCTCGCCAACTGGCAAGCAAGGAGGTGAAAGGATTATCTTAGGGCTTTGTTTATGGATATATCTTGCAGTCAACACCATGATAATGGGCTTTCGTGTATACCTAATCATTCTGTAGCAACAAATTAAGGAATCAAGTTCCTGCTATCGCTGAGTTAAAGTCCCGACCTCTGGATGAAACAGCTAATTGTGCAGAAAAAATTGTCTCTGAACCTCAACGAAGTGAAGTAGCTCCTTAATCTCTATGTATAAGAACCAAAACTCCTCCAGACAATTTTCGTGGCATGTGATGTAGCAACACAGAATGAATTACTGAGATCCTTATCCTACATAAGTTGGTTCCACTAAACTTTAATCATGATGTTTTCAAAACAAAAACAAGGTTTTGATGGGCTATTGTATAAAACCTACACCGCAACGCTATTCCTGATATTTTAAATTGAAAAAACTTCCTGGATGGAAAGCGAAAAGTATTCAAACTTGGAAACAATTTCCAGTGGATTGTATTTAACTTTTTTTTTATTTTAATCATGAGTTAGACGTTTTTGCCACGACTGGATTTGTTCTATTTGGTTTCAACTTATAGATCCAACCATGGTTGGTGACTCCATCATATAGGAAAAATATAAACTGCAGTTTGAAAAAGGAAAATATTAGATACATGTAGACATAAAATATCTTTTAGTTGTAGCTGTTGAACTGCCTTGAACACAATGACAAACAGAAAGCTGTTTTTAGAACAAAAATCTCTGAAATCAAATGAGAAGCCACGGAGCACTCTCCTAAGATACAGGAGTCCTCTATGCAGGTATTCCAAGTCATCTGTGAAACTCTGTAGTTTGTGTCACTTTATGGATGATCTCTTCCATCCTGCCCACACTCAAAAGTTTCTTATGAAGTAACTTATTGCTGCGAGGGATTGATCAGTCCCGGTCCTTTGCTGTGGTGTCCGACTGCCACTGCACAGCAAATCAGGGGTTAAGACGGGTTTGAGTTAGAATAAACAAGCAGCTTCGAAATTCATCAGAGCTGGATCCAGCCTCTGATTCTGCACTTGTGTTTTCTTATGGTGAAATCTGATTCTACTTCAGGTGTCTTTGATTGCTCCTGTTACTTTTTAAAGACGTACTAAACATCAGTTGAGTAACTGCTCAGCGGTCTCTGCGTTTGCGCTTTATTTTTATATCCGTTTGCATGTTCGCATCTCTCTCTCTTTCTCTTGATGTTTGCTGTTCATGTCTCTCTTTCTGTGTATCATATACCTTATATATCTGTGTGTGCGTGTCATGTGTCCGTCTATAGGTGGGGAATCTGGGTCTGCTCTTCATGTTGCTGTTCTTCATCTATGCAGCTCTGGGAGTTGAGCTCTTTGGAAAACTGGGTTAGTGTGTGCGTGTGTGTTTGTGTGTGTGTGTGCATAGAACCAGTGTTGAATCGCTAATGAGTGTGTGCTTCAGCTGACACTGGTGTGATTTCTGTGGATTGCATAACAAGAACAAATTTCTGTTGACTTGCAAACGTTAATTATGACAATCAGAGCTCCAGTCTACAAACAACTCATTTTCTTCTTCCTTCCTTTCTCTGCTTTCCAACATTTATCGCCTCCAATGCTTTTTTTCATCCTCTTATAGAGTGTTCAGACGAGAACCCTTGTGAGGGTCTTAGTCGGCACGCCACCTTCGACAACTTTGGCATGGCTTTCCTCACGCTCTTCCGGGTGTCCACCGGAGACAACTGGAATGGGATTATGAAGGTTAGATCTGTTTTTACCTCTCTAAAGACTTAGGATAAAATGTAGAGTGCATATTTGTGATCGTGTGCATTCTGGAAGTGAGGCAGAGAGTGCATTAAGCAGAGAGCACATCACTGTTTTTATGACAGAATAGGAGCTGCTTACATTAGAGCCTGGATGACTTCTGTGACAGACTCACACACAGGAGATCACATTCAGTTAAACATCTCCCCCTGTTGGATCCAGCTAGAAGCACATTACTATCCTTCAACACGCTTCTCTTTATCCATTTATCTTTTATACAGATGCCTCTCAAGTGAAATAGGATGCCTTAAATAATTGATTTATATCTGCAATGTAATACTTCTCTCTGCTGACAAGGTTTTAGGAGATGCCAATTTGATTTTTTTAGCAACTTTAGGTACAGTCACACTTTGACAAATGCAATAAACTGCTTTAATAACATGGTATTACTGTGCTTGATTGGCTTAAAGAACCACCTGATTTAATAGAGAATCTATGGAGTATTGTCATGAAGAATACAAGAGTCATCTGAGCCAACTATGCAGACAAGCTGATCATCATAGTAATGTTGGCTTCATTAACACCACAGTCTTATCCCCTCCATGCCATTCTGCACTGGTGAAGTAATTATTGCAAAAGAAACCCTGAACAAGTACTGAGTATATGTTCTGTATAGGAGGACGACATCGTTTTCGGTAGGATGGTATTCATGTATCAAAAGTCTTTAATTTGATATTATCTAATATTTCAATGTTAGGATGTTATTTTGTTTTATTCATTAGCTGTAAGTCATAATCATCACTTAAAAGAAATAAATTCTGAACTATGTCATTGTGTTTCTTGAAACTATGGTTCCCATTTTGAATATATAACTTCACTTATTAAAATGAACAACCATTTACTTCATTATCTTCTCTTTTCTCTGTCTTTTTTCAGGACACGCTGAGAGATTGCCGCCCGAATGACCGTCACTGCCTCAGCTACCTGCCCTTGATCTCCCCTGTCTACTTTGTCACTTTCGTCCTCACGGCACAGTTCGTGCTGGTCAACGTGGTCGTCGCCGTTCTGATGAAGCACCTGGAGGAAAGCAACAAGGAGGCGCAGCTGGAGGAGATGGAGGAGAGGAAGGAGATGGAGGAGAAGAAGGAGATGGAAGAGAGACGGGAGAGGGAGGAGGCGACCCGCCGTCTCAGCTGCATGTCGGTAGGTGGAGACCTAGAGATGAACGTGGAGCCACCTGTTCAGGTAACCCCCACATTCCTTTAAAGTAGTTGGTGAAGGGAGAAGGGGTGACAGTAACAGTAACAGAGGATTGGATCTGATTGGGCAGGTGCAACTGGAAAACGAGGACTGTTCCCATGGAAACCTGCGGAGGATGGGACGCATGCTGTCTCTCCCCAGCGACAACTATGTCCCACCTCTCAGATACTCCTCTTACACCCCCATTGGCCTCGAGGCCGTTTGTGGCTACAGCTACTCAGGTAATTTGACGTTTTTACATCAGCTTGAATTGAACAGCTTTCAGAGGCCTGAAGCCACTAATTGGACTTCTGTAAAAATCATTGCTTCAATAAAGAGCTGACAGCTGAGATGTGATGCTGTGCAACTAGAGGTACTGTTATTAAAGCCCCGAAGAGGTTTTTAAGATTAATGACAAATAAGTTGAAGTAGGTTTGAAGTACATTATTCTTCTTTGTTCCAACTAAATTGATATTTTATTACTTATTCCAGAAGTAATATTCTTCGAGTGGTTCTTTTGAAGTTTCTGTCTGTTGATCACCAAACAGAAAGCAGTACGAAATACTGTTCTGGCCAGAAATGTACTAAAAAGGAAAAATGAAAAATATTTCCAGGTGTACGACATTTATGAACAAATAAGCTACCGGTATGCTTGTAGTAAAACTGCACCAAATGTAAAACATAGTACTAAACTGACTCTGAGATTTAAAAATTTAAAACACACGTCAGGTGCGTATCAGTGCTAAAAAGAAATGTGTTTGGTGCCATAGTAGAGATTAATCATAGAGCGAATTTACCAGCGATTAACACGCATACAAAAAAACTATGATTTAGAAAATATTTTAAAAATCCTAAATATATAATCCCATTAAATGACAGTTATTAGCGGTGATCAGTCCCGTAGAATGACTTTACATTGTGTCTCAGCTGGTTGTTAGCACCGAATGAATCCCAATCCTAAAATCCTAATCCAAATGGTTATTCCCTTTTAGCTTGCAGAATTAATGAATATATTTATCTGTAATATGAATTAAGTAGTTCTTCATCTATATATATATATATATATATATATATATATATATATATATATATATATATATATATATATATATATATATATATATATATATATCTATATATATATATGTATATATATATAGATATATATATAGATATATATATATATATAGATATATATATATATATATATAGATATATATATATATATATATATATAGATATATATATCTATATATATATCTATATCTATATATATATATATATATATATATATATATATATATATATATATATATATATATATATATATATATATAGATATATCTATATATATATATATATATAGATATATATATATATATATATATATATAAAATATCCACCTGTTGCTCACATTAAACAAACCAAAAACAAAAATTGTTTTCTATGGGATTGATAACTGCTAATAAGACCTATTTATTGGTTGATCACATCTGAAAAATAGACCGTTGGGTGTGTTGAGGAGGTCTTACGCTAAATTATAATCCCTCTATATCAATATTTTTCAAGTAAAATAATCATTGGAATTGTTAGCCTTTTTTTTTAATTATTTCTTTTATGCACTTTTGAAGTAATTTTGGTAGGATGTGCACTGCTGGAAGGTTTCCCACTGGTCTATGCTTTCTTGATTTTTGATTAATAGCTCTTACTGTGGTTGTTTGGAGTCTCAAAGCCTTTGAAATCTGTAAGCATTTCCACACCATTAGATATCAATTACATTGACTTTGTTTCTCATTTGTTTTTAACTGTATTTATATCCAGAGAAGATTTGTTGCTTTTTGGGCCTAGCTGATGTTCTGTGTAGATTATGTCATTATTCTACATGCCTTTTAGTAATAAGGGCCTAAAAGTATGGAATACTACACAATCCTAACTTTATTTATGAACTTCTTTAAAACACTCAACACCTGACACAAAGTGCTGCATATAATTTGTAATTTAAAAGTATTAGGAATTTTAAAAGGAGGCAGTGAATCCCTGGGAGTGGACTGCACAGTCAGCTCAAACCTCTTAACCGCTCCATGTCTTTCTCTACTCTATATTCTGTCTTGCATGTGTACTGACAATGTGTAGATTAGAGAAAGGCAACAATAAATTCAAAGCTGTGCACCACATTTTTTCTGTAATAATTCTAATCATTTGTAAAATCATTCCAATCCATGAAAGCCATAATCACTAATCAATATTAATTTCATGCTCATAATGTATTAAGTCTTATGATTGCTGCCATATCTTTTAAAGACCAGTTAGCGCCTTCATCTAAAGCTTGAGGTTTCATGCAAAAATCATTGTGCTCTTTGCTGCTGACAAACCTTCAAGGACATTTTAGCAGGGTGGTTTGTATCTGTAGATATAAAACATGGGGGATGACTGAGTGTAAAAATGTGAGCACAGAACTACTGGGAATGTTCAACCTTGACTACTCCAGAGGCACAGAGTCCACTTTGCATTTGATGTTCCCAGATATGATTAGTAGGCTCGGTGGCCCACAAGGTTAAGTGTGCTATCAATAAGAGGATCTTTGGTCCATTTCCAACTTGGTTCCTGATTTGAAACTGCTGATCCCATTGAAATAAGAGCTAGACATGGGTGTTCAATTAATTTCTCCAAACAAAGTAGCTGTTAGGGGGAAAGGAATTACTTTTAGAACATAATTTCTAAAGTTGTGTTTAACTGTTTTGGCTTTGTAGAGCATCGGGGGCTCTGAGAACAATTCAAATCTCTCCAGACTACTGACACTTCTGTAAATCTCATAATTTTCCTTCACATGCTATTTTGTGTTTTGGTTTCTTACTAATTATCTTAGTATTTATGTAATTGTATTTTGACAAAATATGAAAAAATTAAATGGGGTGAATAAAACTGTGAGAGACTGTTATATAAAAATGAACCCAAGGAAGTATTAACATTCTACTGTATGTTAAAGTTTTCAGATAAAAAAACAGATTTTACTACAGCTTGTGTCTTTGCATACCTCTATTTTTATGTCTGATTATTGTATGGTTTTGTACAGGCTCCATGTCTTCTCTGGGTACCAGTGGAGGCAGCTCTCTGCTGCAGGTTCCAGGAGCTCTTCCTGCAATCAGCCATGCCTCTCTAGGATCCGGACGTAGCTCCAAGCCCATAATCTGGCTCAGCACCTCTCAGACCACTGACAAGCAATCACTACACAGACTCAGTCCAGCTGACAGCATGGAGGGATACAGGCTCAGTTCAGCTTACCGGACAAACAGGCACAGACTGAGCTCAGCTCACAGTATAGATGGCTACAGATTCAGCCCTACCCATAGAATAAAAAGACACAGACTCAGCTCCACTCGCAGTATGGATGGATATAGGCTGAACCCAGATCCCAACACAGACCGGCCAAAGCTCCTGTCCAGCCACAGTATAGACAGATATCCATCTGTCAGGCTGAGTCCTACAGATGCTGAGAGAAGACGTTCATGCTGGCTCAGTCCTGAGGAGAGTTTGGACAGAAACAAGCTCAGTCCCACCTACGTTCCAGAGAGTTCGGTCCTAAAGCGACCAGCATCCTTCCGCTCTGCAGGCAGACAGCTAAGAAGACAGGTGCGTCATTTTATGCTGTTATCTATTATTAAACCCATATTTTATTTGTTCACCGATGCGCAGAGACTTTTAAATTTCATTTGCATTTAAATTACACTGACAATATTATAAGCTTATTTCAGTTAAAGCCTCTGTTAAAGCAGGTTATGCTGTATGTTTGAACTGATTATGAGTTTCTGAGTCTTGTTACAAATGTTAGTAGGAAAAGAAAATAAATCCTCTAAAAACAACCTCAGCTTTAAGCTTTGATTAAAATAAAATGCTCTTAGTAACAGCCCTGTCCAGTTTCTGAAGAGATTGCAGTCAGACTGCAGAAACTGCCTGTCTCTCGTCCCCTGCTTCAAGTTTGGCCTTAATCTACCAGAGAATAGCAGATATGAGAGAAGTGGAAAAAATCTTCCCCTTCTCAAACACACTAGGTTTGAAGGAATCATTTACCTTAACAGCTTGTCAAGACAACACTGAAAAGCTTGTTAACAATTCATACATTTAAAAATTCAGTACTGAAGCAGAAAAACAGCTTGAGCATGCAGGGTGGTGCACCCTAAGGACAGAAGGTTGAAAACACTAGTTTCCAAATTACCTTAAATACATTATGCATTCATGTAGTCAGGTATGGGGAGAAAATCGATGCAATATATGTGGGCATACAGTATGTCCCTATAAAGATTTATGGCAAAGCTGGTGTTTTTGTAATTCTGTTGGATTATTGAGGCAAGTTTATTTTCATTTAAAGATGTCAGTTTTTAATTTATAGGTATCCATTTCCATCTGATAAGGACAACGTGGTATTATGAGTATGATAATTGGCAAGCCCCAATGTCTGTTGGTTCCCATCCTGGGCTTTTTACAGTCGGAATAACATGTAGTCCATATCTGATGCACAAAGTAGTACTGGATGGATGGATGGATGGATGGATGGATGGATGGATGGATGGATGGATGGATGGATGGATGGCTTGGTTGGGTGGGTGGGTGGGATGGATGGATGGATGGATGGATGGATGGATGGATGGATGGATGGATGGATGGATGGATGGATGGATGGCTTAGTTGGTTGGTTTGGTTGGTGTGGATGGTTTGATGGATGGATGGATGGATGGATGGATGGATGGATGGATGGATGGATGGATGGATGGATGGATGGATGGATGGATGGATGGATGGATGGATGGCTTGGTTGGTTGGTTGGTTGGTTGGTTGGTTGGTTGGTTGGTTGGTTGGTTGGTTGGGTTGGGTTGGATCGATGGGTTGGATGGATGGATGGCTTGGTTGGTTGTTGGTTGGTTGGTTGGTTGTTGGTTGGGTTGGATCGATGGGTGGAAGGCTGAATGGGTGGATGTTATCTGTTGCATCATTGCTTTTTTTGCAAATGTAGATTTTGTTCATTAAACTGATAATGTATTCGTGTTATTAGTGAAAAGAAAACATAAAATAGCTCTAAAAGTTTTTTTCTTTTACAAGTGTTAACTTGCTGGTGGTTTGCATCTACTAAGAGTCATATTTCATGTATGGTAATCTAGTGTGAGGTAATTTCATTATATCTTAGCATGCGTGTTTTTTGCATGTTCTCTGTATCCAGGAGGCCGTGCGCTGTGACTCTCTGGATCAGAGCGGTTCAGCTGACAACCTGGCAGAAACCTGTCTCACTGTGCCCACGACCTTATCCTCTCCACCACGTCAGCGATCATCCAGCGTACACACTTTGAAATATGCTCACCCCCAGAGGGTCATCTCATGTAGGAGCCACAGCCGGAGCCACAGCGAGGCTACTACCCATGAACATGTACCTGAGCAGGCCATCTGCGGCTCTCAGCCAGACACAGATGCAGAAAAAAGACCCGTCAGCCCCCAGGACCAATGTAATTTGAAGATCACCAGCACTGAATCCACCCTTTCATCTCCACTTCTTTTCTCAAGAGTGGCCTGCCCTGGCACTGGCGCTGGCGCTGGTTCAGACCCCACCCCCAAGCTGGACGATGCTGATAATGAAGTCAATCTTATAAACAGTTCAGTCCCACAGCCTCCTCCTGGCTCCTTACAGAAAAGCGGACACCTCTCCCCAGGTACTGTAGAGCACCGGAATCGCATCAGTCATTCAGCGTCGCCTGTGTCGGGAAGGAACAGGAAGCAGCGGATGAGTCCGCCTCCGGGGGAGGAGCCAGTCACAACAGCAACTCAGTTTATAGACAGCAGTGTTGACCTGAGGAGGCGGACTCTGTCGTTTGACGCAACCAGTGTCTCTCCAAACCAGCAGGAGTGGAGCTCTGTGGATGACTAACAAACTGGGACAAATATTGTACTGAAGTAGGCATGAGAAGGATGTGAGCTGCAATCTAAAACAGAAGGGTCTCCTGTCCCACCAGAGGCCCTGTTCTCTTATCAGATTTCCACTGGGTGTGAAAATAATTTATGATGTGTGTATGAGTGAGAATGCCTAAAGACTCTTTTGTGCGTCTTGCACACATGAAAGAGAAGTTTCCCTTTCTTCTATCATAGTCTTAGCTTTAGTTCACACACAGCAGCCGCCAAGTCCCGGCTCTATTTATTCGACTGGTAAATTCCCTCCTCTTGCTTGCTCTTCACCTGTTGCCATCAGTCATCTTTTTCCCCACAAGCCTAGGTCAGAATACAACACAGCGATTGAAGTTCTTATTTACAGTGCCTTGCAAAAGTATTTAAATGATCTGAACGTTTCTGCATTTTTTCATTTTACAATATCAAGCTGCTTTGAATTTCAGTGGGATTTTGTGTGATAGTTAAAAATAAATTATTGCATAATTGCAGAGGAAAATTAAATAGACATCCATTTTTTAACCCGTTCTACTAGATTAAAATTTAAAAAGCGAGGCATATTAAACCTCTCCTGAGTCTATATATTTTAGAAGCCCCTATAGCTGCATGTCCTCATAGATGATGAACCCCCAGCACCGACCCACCTCAGGTTTAACTCTTAGCCACAAGTTTTCCAGAGTTTTCCAATATTTACTTTTATTCAGTTTCTGCTCTGACCAGTTTCCCAGTCCCTGCTGAAGAGAAGCACTCCCTCAGCATGACTCTCTTACCACCATGTTCTGCAGTTGGAATAGTTTGTCCACAGTGATATTTACTCTGCACCATGTAATTGATTTATTACAGAAAATGAAAAAATAAGCTTTTCATGACTAGAGCACCCTCGATCGGTTTTTTGACTGATTGCTAACTGCAAACATAGGACTTCCTTTGGTTTTGTTTAACACCATTTGAGGAGTTACGTGACTAACGGGGAGCAAAAAGCAGTGATCATCTGTCTGAACGGTAAGTTAACGGAGTTCACTTTAAAGTCCACTATATAGTCCCCGCTCTATATAGTGATTGAGGGATTTAGGGGTTAGGGCAGACGTTCGGACACAGTAAGTTCGTATAAATGATAAGAACAGCAACTTTTAAACAGAGCCTGCACGAGGAGAAAAGGGCTTGTGCATGCTCTTGCACACATTTAATAGGTGTTCCCTCTTGAGCGCGGGTACAGGGTTTTGCATGTGCATTTTATTAAAAGTGGAGTGGGTGGGTCTTTTAAAAAAAAAAAGTGAAAATCTTCCACAATACCTTTAAGGAAAATGTTTGTCCTTTAATGTTATTCAATTGTTCTTGCACTTGAATTTATTTAGGGGTATCAAAGTAAAATAAAAGAATAAAAAATATATGGCACACTTTTCAGGTTTGGATTAATAGATTTATGTGTCAGGTAATTTTTATGTCACTGTTATCTCTGACTCTCTGTCACAATAAATTCAAAATTAAATTATATTAAAGTTTTTGGTTTTGAAGATTCAGAAACATGTGTAGGGGTTTAAGCGATATAAATACCTTTGCAAAGCACTTAATAGTTTTAATCAACATCAAACTACTCAACGTACAGATTTTATAATTATGTTATAATTAAGAAAAACATCTGTCACAACTGAAATGTAAACTCAAAGGAATTAAATAGTTCAAGAATTTTAGTGAAAGGAAAGTTTGAATCATAGATCTGAGGATTAAACTCTGAACATTTGTTGATGTTTAAGTGTTAAGAGGAAAATTGTTTTAGATAAACTTATGGTTTTCAGTATAGTCTTTTCCCTTAATTTATCTCTTCCATTTTGAGCTACAGTGCTTTTCACTGACTGCAGATCTGTACAACATTAATATCTTTTTGATTTTATGTAAATTTAATGCCATAAATGGATCAAGTTCATGAAAGCCTGTAGAATGGATTTCACTTTTGGAACAGTTCAGATAAAACCATGTAGTGTGACCTGGGCTTTAGTTGTGTCTACCTCTCCTTTTTTCTTCCCAGCTCCCATCCATTTGTATTCTCTCCTTTTGTTTCACTCTCCTTCTGTATGTCTTTGTATTCTCAGGGTAGAAGTAGTGCAGACACAGTTAAGTGTAATATATGTGCCTGCAGCTTTGCAGAGTTAGCAGGTCCCCTGTTGTCTGAACTTTGAGCCTGACCCCCTTTTTCTTCCTTGTTGAAAGAGACGGAGCTTCACAGGAGCTGACTTGGATGGAGCTACAGACGGGCTTATGCAAGTGATGAAACAATGCTTACAGTTTTTAGAGGTTATATTTTATTAAAAATACAGGAGTGATATTAGAAAGCTGCATTTCTACATTTCTGAATGTCTGGATAATAGCAGTAAAGGATACTCAGCAAGATGTACATGATTGGACAGAGCTGGAATAAAACCACTTCCTGTCTAACTTTCATATGACTCTTCATTCTGATTCTTTTTCATCCCAAAAACTGACAGAAAAAGCTGATTTCTATCCCGTTTGTGCCCTACAATCTAAAAATACGACCAACATTCAGCAGCTGCCTTCAATACTGCTAATGAATTCAGCTCATCTCTATCTAATTATGGGCTTCCAGCAGATGTTGATTAATATGCCAGACACATCCTCAGATGTCGTTCACAATATTAAATTACTTTCAAAACTGTTCCTAAGATCAAATATAGCAAAAATAAGAGAGAGAGAACATTTTAAAACCATGTGAACAGAGGCAGAATCACAGTTTGGATCATGGTGTGGATGACTACAGTTTATTTCCTTTTCTAACCAGTTCAACAGATCACAATAAAATATTCAAACACATTCATTTCTAACACTGAAACTATAATAAGCAGTTCTGCCAAGAAATGGTAGCATTTCCTGCATTTTCTGTTGCTTTCCTCGTTAATTTCACAATATCCTGGTCATAATTTCAGCCATTGGCTTGTGTTTATTAAAGAGCGACAAAGATTTTACGTCCCACCCGCTAAGTTCATTCGTGAGGCAAGTAAAGCATCATCACTGATCTAATTCTCTTTTTCTGCACTTCATCCTACGAACATGCAGCCAGGATGTTTCTCTGTGTGAATCTGTACATGTGGTTTCAGGTGGTGAGTGACTACATCTGCGCTCGCAAGCATCAATATTTGTGTGTGTACAGAACAAGTGTTTAGAACTAATTAAGCTTAGCCAGCTGTTGCCATGGTGAGAATAGATGTTACATCACTTGACCCAGAATCCCACCTCTCCCTGGAGGGGATGGAAACGCGCTAAAACCAGTAGGGCTGGTGGTCCTCATTTCCAGCTTAATGTGTTGTTTCATTCAGATCACCTCCCCACTTTCCGTATCTAAAAAGCAGGAGCCACAGGTCTCTGCTGTGTGAGTTTCTGGGGGTCCAGGGTTTCGGTGAAGGGTGGAGCTTGGTAGGGGTTGGTGGTTACGATGGTGCCGCCGTTGGGGATGGGGTACGGAGTGGCTCGGACGTTTCTTGGAGGAGGGTCAAGGTGCTGCCAGGTGAATAAGTTTGTTTTGCTGCCGGTCATGTAGCGTCGGAGCGCACTTAGTGTCAACACAGCCTGTTAGAAACCCACACATGAAGAAGAATTGACAATCAGTCTTTATTTACACGTTCACAGGTATCCTTCAATTTTTTTTCTTAAACTAAACTAGCTTAAGGTGGTTTAACAATAGAAGACATAATTGTAGAGGTGAAAATGGCTCTGCATCTCTCACAATTTTAGCAAAACAGTGTTTCATTATTGTGGAAGCTGCAGATAACAGGCCCTGATTGTACTATTCAATCACTCAACCTCCAATTGTTCCATCAAATGCTCCTAAGAATGATGACAACCTTTAGTCTAGAAAAGTGTACTACTTTTTAAGGTGGTTCTAAAGCCAAAAACCAAAACACTTAATTTATCTTTTCCACTTTTCTCCTTCCTTACTTTGTCAATAACTTGTCAATTGTCGGGGGACAAAGCCTTTGATTTATCACTCGTTCTACGTTCCCACCCTCACCTATGGTCATGAGATCTGGGTAATGACCAAAAGGATAAGATCGTGAATACAAGCAGCCAAAATGTTCCTTCGCAGAGTGGCTGGGTGTACCCTTCGAGATTGGGTGAGGAGCTCAGCTACCCGGGAGGAGCTCGGAGTACAGTCATTGCTCCTCCACGTCGAAAGGAGCCAGCTAAGTGGCTTGGGGATTTTTTACAGAATGCCTCCTGGTTGCCTCTCTTGGGAGGTGTTCCAGGCATTTCCTATTGGGAGAAGGCCTCGAGGAAGACCCAGGACACGCTGGAGGGACTATGTCTCTGAACTGGCCTGGTGTCACCTCGGGGTCCCTCCAGAGCAGCTGGAGGAGGTGTGTGTGGATCAGGATGTCTGGAAATCTCTGCTTTCTGCTGCTTCATCCGCAACCCAGCCCCAGATAAAGCGGAAGAAAATGGATGGATGGATGTCAATAAGAAAAAAGTTTTCATAAATCCCCAAATCTCTCTTCATTATAGAGTTTTTTCAATATGTGAGTTTGGTGCTCACGGAGGGATGACAGCAGACTTCAATGGTGAAGTTATGTTTGCAAGTCCTTAAAAAGTGGAATTTGCTATTTGTTTTTGTGCAAACTACTGTTAATAAACACAAGCAAATAAGAATATACTATCCTACTCCCACTTTTAAGGGTAGCCTTAAAAATGTTTTTTTTTTGATAAAGCTTATAGTTAGAGTGGTTATCCAGTGCTATCTCTATGGTAATGCTGCTATAGGCTTAGACAGCTGGAGGACATAAGGACCCCTTTTTCATCATTCTGCTTTATTCTATCTCTATTCTCCCACTGTACAGAATTTGTTAGTTCAATCTTTAACGTTATGCTCTCTCTACTTTTTCTCATAGTAGCTTCATCTGGTCTGTTCCTATTTGGCTGTGACACCATCCTGGAGAGAAACTAGTTTTCCTTTCAGTTTGATGCTATGTTCTGGTTAAATTGTCTCTGTAAAGTGCCTTGAGATGACATTTTATGTGAATTGGTGCTATATGAATAAATAAACTGAACTGAAACTAAAATGTGTATTTCAAACTTCTAAAGATGAATCTTAAGAAAAGAGGCACAACAATAAGGAGTCCATTCTAATTGTGATGGAAATGGATGTCTTGTCAAAACATGAAAATCTCAATCTAACCCATTTAATTAGGAAGCAGAAATCGTCAAAATAATAAAGTAACATGAAATAATACAGCCTTTTTTATTTGGGTTGTTGAATTAGTTACTCATCTTTCCTTCATTTAACTCTAACCTACATTTTGAAAATGGATCACCACAGGCTCCACCATGCAGCTATGATGGAGCTGAAATGTGAAAAAAAAAAAAAAAACTTGTGAAACCTTAGGGACAACTTCAAAATAACAAACACAATGCACTACTCTGTGACATCACAAAGTAAGCATATACATAAAGCAAAGTCAAAACACCAATTCTTGTCATGATTAGAAGTACAAGTTTATCTCATCCTCTGTGTTTATTAAGAAGTTTACCAATAAAGGTTAGGATATAGCTCACAGAGAAACACTGTACCTTTTTGATGAGTTCAGTTGACATATTCAGCAGCAAAACGAATCTATTTAAGCCTAATCTAAGTATCTGAGGAAGCTGAGTTTAAACACTTTGAGGACTAAGAGGAGCCGTCTAACTCATAACTTTTTGTGCTGTCTTAATCTAAGTTCAAATGTCAGCTTTTAGTCTAACAGGTACAAAAACAGCATGCAATGCCATAGTTTAAAATTAATTCAATTATCTTTATATTAATATGTACAAACAACCTAAATGAGGAGGCTGATGGATCTGATGGTAATAAAATAGAATAGAATAGAAAATCCCTTTATCATCCCCAATTAGGGAAATTGTGGTGTTACAGCAGCAAAGGATTATTGCAAAAGTGGTAATACAAATATGGACCTTAAAAAATGTATAAAAATCACAGAATAAGTGACAGAGTGACAGAATATAAAATAATCACTGTTTACTTGTGACTGGCTACTGAAATTATTATCAATGTTAACTCCCGGATATTTAAAATGCACTTGCTAGATTTTGACTATGTAGGACCACTAGGAGGTGATCTCCAGCTGATGTGGGATACACCAGCATCTGCACTGTCTTATCAAGTAATAATGAGTTGGTGTGCACTAACCCACTGTACACCTTGTGGAGGGAGATACTGTACAAGTTAAAACGTCTCACAGCATATTGATTTAGCTGGGAGCTATTACAGTTGTTGGTGAAAAGTGTGAATATGAAAGATTTATGTGACTCGACCCTACAGGGATAGCAGGGCTGTTAAATGCAATATCAGAAAAGCTTCACCCACTGTGGTAAAAAAAAAAAGAACAGGAAATAATGAGACCACTTAGTTCACAATCAACTTACACTTAGCTGTATTTGTTTTTTGTTTTTGTTTTTTGAAGGATGTGTGGCTAAACCAAATTTAAAACAGAGAAAAACCATGAAAAGATAGATATGAAGAGAAAATCTCTAGATTTTAAAACCAGATGCTTTACAGTTTAAATTGCATAATCTCTACTTTTTTTTTGTAAAAAAAAAGAAAAATTTATCATTGATACTGTAAGAGAATTTAGAGCAATGACATGTTAGAATAAACAATCATAGTGATATAGTAAATGGTAAAATACACTACACTTTTATAATAAATAATTTATGTCTGGATTTTTTATTTTAATTTGCAGTTTTAAGCATTCCTTCAATTATTTAGTTATAGTGAAACTGTAGCGCCTTCAGCTCTAATTATAACTGCACTGTGTAAAAATGTGTCAAATATTAGGCAGCATAAAGGATGAAGAGGAGTCTGAAACAGAAGCCTGTTTTAACCCATAAAATGAAATGGATTGGGATCGTGTCCAGCAGATTCCAATATTCCAAATAATCCATGACTTCTTAAATACATATGAGGATGATGATTAATGGTAGTGTGTGAAAAAAAGGTACAAACCCAGCTGAGGATCGAAAAGAAGCAGAAAGCGATGATGGCTCTGGCAGCATCTGAGCCCTGGGCCAATGGCAGCTCATCTGGAGATGTGGCCTGCCACTGATTGGCCAGAAAACAGAATCCAACAAACCACAGAAAGCTGGCCACCCCTAGAGGAGAGAAATAAGATTGTGTTTCATGCCTATCTTTAATTGTTTTTATCTTCCCCCCTTTTTTATCGCTTTGTACAAATGAGGAAAAAACATGTGCAAAAGTTGGATTTTTTTTATTACCAGAAAAGATGAGGTCTAGCAGCACGGCTCGTTTTCGGTCATTGAGGTTACTCATGGAAGGGAAGTAAACATCGAGAATCAGGAAACAGATGCTGCCAAGGAAACAGGCCACGCCCACTGTCATGCCATAATTACAGGCATCAGCGTTTTTGTTGAAGACACATAGCAAACGCTCGCTACCGATGTTGATGTAGCCCTCGTTCACAATGCAGCTAAACACCACAATGGAGAAAACCTGAAGACAGACAAAACATCAGGGATTAAATTCACACTGATGGACGAAGGCCTTCCATTTATCACAAACAATAATATAAAAAGGTAGAGTATCCTCAACCTATTATTACATTTCTCTAAAATGTGATCTGTTCTATTAATTTATTAACTAGACAGTGCAAAAGTTTCAAAGCAGTATTAAGTCACCTAATTTAGGAAAGATTTGCACAGAAATTTTTGTTTGTATCTATTTAACAATGAGGCGCAAAGTCAATATCATCAAGATCAAAGATTGGGAGTGTGGATAAAATGAGGAATGTAAAAAAGAGGTGAGCACAGAAATAATTTTAATAAATAATAATAAATAATTTAAAATAAATATAGAAGCTTTATTTTTCTCAGTGACTCAAAATGGCTTATTGTTGGACTTAATATGAGCAAAATAGCAAATAAAGTCAGCAAATGTTGCTAACCACAACTAAAAGGCAGACTGATGGCCTGAAAGCAAACCAAAATAAATAACTTAAAATTTTTTCACCGTAATGATAACATTTGCCAAATGCACTGAATTTATTTGGCACCTCTTTTAGGCATACCCACTACTAATAGTGAGTAACTAGTGAGTAGCACTCATTTATGTACACACAGCCCCACACCATAGCTCAGATGGATAGAAGAGAAGGGTGACCTACCATTGACCTTAACCCTAAAGATACTTTCTCCATAGTCACTTAGGAGTCTTATATTTAATTAAAAATAAAGAATATTGTTCAACTCATTTAATGCATATATTATGTAGAACCATACATTTATTTAAACCACACTAATGTACAAATATGTGCATAGTTTTATCAGCATGGACCCTAATGAAAATCTAGTCTGTCTTCAGTGATTTTTTTTGGAAAATATAGATGTTGTTGCGTTCATTTTCCAATTGCCTATAGATTATAGGCCTATAGATTGACCATAAGATGTTTTTGCCACTTATCAGTTTTCGGCCACCCCTCAGTGCTCATTGTCCCCTCACCACCCTTATTATAATTTTCTGGAACCGCCACTGATCAGGAGCCATGCTAATGGGGCCACCGCTGGAAATCCACAAGCCATCACAGTAAAAGAATAATACTTTTGGGCAGATATGTCATTATTAGAGAATGTTACTTACTAGTTTATATAATGACTAAAAATGTAACTGGTCTGTGTGTTTGTCTAATAAAACCATCAATTCACTCTGGTTCCTCCAGTTTGTGGATTTGCTGTATTCTTATGTTTGTCAGTTGGAAATATTGCTAATATCTATTTAAAAAAATACATAAATAAACAGCCTGAAATGCTTATTCTGATATTTTAACAATAAAAATGACTTGACTTTGATAGACGGAAGCTTTAGAATGGGGATTTATGCATTGCATTTAAAGCAAATTGGTTAATTATTCATGTTAAAGAACCCCTCAGTATGTCTGTTTAGTTTTTACAGCTGTTTTATCCTTTTCATATTTACCTTATTGCAGTTCAGTTTACCTTATTCCGATAAACCGTGTAAATGTTAATAATGAGGGAAAACAGACACATGATGACTCACAGCTGCACAGCATCACAAAGGAAGCTGGGCTTTCATCCTGATCGAAGCTTTAAACACATAAAGCTTATTTGCTTCTATTAGAAACAGATCATTTCGGTTTCTTATTATGCTTTGTGTGCAAACACAGCTGCATCGCTTCAATGGAAAACAAGACAATGTGAGGCAGAAAGAGAAAGGGGGGCTGCAGGCAGGCCCGTCCATTCACGCAGAGCCGCATTTGACATATGGCAGAGGAAGAGGCTTACCCACGACAGCAGTCTGAGGATGGTGCGAGGGTGTGTGAAAAAGGCGACCGGATCAAAAGGGACGCTTCCGGCCTTCCTGGCGCCGTACGCGCCCGCTGCCTCCATCCCTCCGATGTTCAGCTGCCTGAGAGCGGCTGAGAGAGCTAGAGGAGTCGGTGAGAGCAGCTCGGAGCGGTGGGGTCCCTCCTCCAGCCTCCGGATGAAGTCACAGCGCGTCACCGAAGCATCTGAAGCTGCAGCATCAGGACCAACTTCAGCTCCTACATCTGAACCAATCCGTGTTTTTGTTTTACTGGTTTATCGATAATCGTGGTTACTTTTCAGCCAGACGCTACTGATTTTGAACGAGTTTGCTGTGGAGAGTACATCACCAGCAGAACAAGGAGCCAATGAAGAAAACCGGCTCTGTTCTGAGGAATGCTCTGGAGCCTCTGATTGTCCAAAAACACATTGCTTTAAAAATTAAGAAAATTTGGTTCTGTTATGTTTTCTTTTGAGTATTCAGTTTTACTTTGCTCCATGTTTTCTAGGTATATTGATTTTATTTTTGTATTTTTAGGTTTTTATTTGTTTCTCTCTTGTGTTGGTCTCCTTTTCCCTAGCTCCTTTCTAGACTCTTCTCTTCACACCTGCTCCCAATCAGCTCGTTAGTCCCTTCTTTGTTTCAGTCTCCCATTAATACTCTCATTGTGCAGTTCCTCAGTGCTGATTCATCGCCTTACTTCGTCTCTCCTCGCCTTTCCATGACTCCATGTGCTCTTTTCCCCTGATGTCTCCATGGTTCTGGTTAAGTTTTACGTTTTAAGTTGGATTTTGGATTCCTGCCTCTGTTACCTGTCTTGATTCATTAAAGACTGCAATAACCAAGGGCGTAGGTTTGATTTCAACTTTGGTAGGGACACCATTGGTCTTCAGTTTCATTGGTCTGATGTTATTGGTCTTATGAAAAAATATTCTCTTTTTTTATGCTTAATGTAAGCATCAGGGCACGTTTTGTTTAAAGAGAACAGCAGCTTTTCTTGCTACATCAATACAAATCTTATAGGCACTGCACACACTAGATGATGTTTGTTAATGTTTAAAGCATCACTGGCTCTGACCAATGTGGAATTAGGAATTTTTTCTGCTTTGAAAAGGTATGCACAGTTAAAAGTGCTGCTGCAACAAAGACCAGGCAGCTGCAGCTACCAGGCAGAGGAGCTGCGAGAGGAAAAGAAGCCACAGCTGCAACAACGCTATATAGTAAATTATAAACATGTTGTTCACATCAAATTATTATTAGGGAAAAATAGGTCGGTCCAAAATTTTGGTAGAGACATGTCCCTATGGTCCCTATGCAAACCTACGCCCATGGCAATAACTCACCTCTGCCTCTCAGCCTCTGCATTGGGGTCCTCAAACCTTACCAAATCCTGACAGATTGTGTGTTCAGTGAAGTGTTTCTTCCCCTGAACCGCTCCAATACAGACCACTACAGGAGATCCATTACAGCCCAACATCTCCCCAATCAACAGCTACACTCTTTAAAGAAACTAAGCTATCATAAAGTTACAGAAAGATTTGGTTTCCCTTTGGTTTAATCACATAACTTTTTATCTAATTTAAAATTCCTCTCATTCAGTTTTTAGTAACTCTTTTTTTAGTGTTTGGTCTGATGATGTTACCCCAGCAGATGATGGAAGAACAGATCAATCTCCCACCACAGATATGCAGCATCTTGCTGTAAACGCTGAAGGACCTAAGCTTCCTTAGGAAATACAATCTACTCTGTCCTTTCTTGTAGAAGGCTTCACAGTTGGGTCTGCAGTCTAGTTAGTTGTCCAGGTGAACGACAAGGTATTTATACTCCTCCAGCACCTCCAATTCTGCTCCCGTGATGTTAACAGCTTTAGACTTATTAAAATTTTTACTTAAATCTACAGTCACCTCCCTTGTTTAATTTCAGGATCAGATGACTATTTCCACACCATGGTAGGAGTTCATTAGCTCCCTTTAATCATTGTTTTCTAATCTAATTTCTGGGGTCCAAACCAGCCGGGCCCTCTTGCATTACCTTCTATTGGGCCATGGTGGGTTGTTTTTGAGGTCTTATAGTTACTTCATCATGTTGGACAGGTTCAAAATAAGTGGTTTCTGGACTCTACTGGTCCAGCAGTAATTATGCCTGGGTGTGGAGATGAATGAAAAATGTGATTAAATACAGCTTATCTAAGACTAAATGTTTTCATAGGTAGCTGTGAAATAAATAAAATGTATACAAGAACGTTTCTTGGTGATAAAACTAAGGAAATGTTAAAACAGAGAAAATAGTCTTTGGCAGCACTTTATTTCAGTCAAATAAACCATACCATTGAAAAAAAATACTTAAACCACCTGACACATTCGGATACAAATGTTGTCTTGGCTTTTCTATCAAAGCTCCTCTTTGGGGTTTTTTTGTTTTTTTGCTTCCTCCTCTTTCATGGCCTCAATGTACTTCCTCCTGTCCTCATCCTCCTGGAAAAGCAAAATACAAAAAATATATATTTTTATCACAGAAACTTCACAGTTCTCATATTAAAAAAAAAAAGATGTAGATTTACCTTAACTCTATCTTTCTTTGCCTTTTCCATCTCTTTATCAAGAAACCTAACCAAGTCTTTTATCTCCCTTTTCCCACGGTAAATCACCATCTTCGAAATAACAAATGTATACATTTATCTTTTATAAATTATTTAAACAGCTAAAAAAAACATGAACGTTTTTGCATTTGAGAAAGCATAAATTCATGCATGCTTCATACCCTCTCAGCGTAAAGAGCAGGAAACAGGCAAAGTGATGGGTAGGACCCCTGCAGAGACACGTTGATGTCATTGGCCGAGGCATCGATGCGAGCAACAACTACATCCTTGCGATTCTTGAGAACCTGAGCTAGCTCCTCCCACAGCGGAAACACAGTGCGGGACTTCTCACTGTATGGAACATCTAGGATTTAAGATAAACATTCAGAGTTGGTGAAAACAGTGAGCGGGGGGGAGTTAGGAAGCTCCCAAGGGCCCTTGACTGAGGGGAGCCCTAAAAGAAGAAGAACAGATATATATTTCAAACATATAAAAATATTTTAAAAAATCCAGCAGAAAAATAACTTATCTTTGTGTTCTCCCTCATTTTTAAGCAGTAAACAGTGAAAAAATTTATGAATATATTTTATTAAAATTTGTGTCAATATAAAACGTAAAGTTAACGTATAGTTAATGTATAGTTAGATTTTTATGTTCAGATTCAATTACAGCCATTAAAAGACATCTATAAATCTTGATCATTCTCATGAGCAGCCTGAAGCAGCCACACCAAAAATACATGTTTTGTAATTACAGGTATACATGAATGAAATATAAATTTTCGGGGCCAGTATAAAAATAATCTGTCCTTTAATAAAGTTAAAGTGGAACCTAATAGGACTATATATTCACAATCCAAAACCTATTTTCTTTTCATTTGTACATAGATACAGGTGCTGGTCATAAAATTAGAATATCATGAAAAAGTAGATTGATTTCAGTAATTCCATTTAAAAAGTGAAACTTGTATATTATATTCATACATTACATACAAACTCATATATTTCAGATGTTTATTTTGTTTAATTTTGATGATTACAAATGACAACAAATGAAAATCTCAAATTCATCATATCAGAAAATTAGAATATTGTGAAAAGGTTCAAAATTGATGGCCCCTGGTACCACACTCTAATCAGCTAATTAACTCAAACCACCTGCAAAAGCCTTTAAATGGTCTTTCAGTCTAGTTCTATAGGCTACACAATCATGGGGAAGACTGCTGACTTGACAGTTGTCCAAAAGACGACCATCGACACCTTGCACAAGGAGGGCAAGACACAAAAGGTCATCGCTAAAGAGGCTGGCTGTTCACAGAGCTCAGTGTCCAAGCACATTAATAGAGAGGCGAAGGGAAGGAAAAGATGTGGTCGAAAAAAGTGTACAAGCAAGAGAGATAACCGCACCCTGGAGAGGATTGTGAAACAAAACCCATTCAAAAATGTGGGGGAGATTCACAAAGAGTGGACTGCAGCTGGAGTGAGTGCTTCAAGAACCACCACACACAGACGTATGAAAGACATGGGTTTCTGCTGTCGCATTCCTTGTGTCAAGCCACTCTTGAACCACAGACAGCATCAGAAGCGTCTTGCCTGGGCTAAAGAGAAACAGGACTGGACTGCTGGTGAGTGGTCCAAAGTCATGTTCTCTGATGAAAGTAAATTTTGCATTTCCTTTGGAAATCAAGGTCCCAGAGTCTGGAGGAAAAGAAGAGAGGCACTTCATCCACGTTGCTTGAAGTCCAGTGTAAAGTTTCCACAGTCAGTGATGGTTTGGGGTGCCATGTCATCTGCTGGTGTTGGTCCATTGTGTTTTCTGAGGTCCAGGGTCAACGCAGCCACATACCAGGAAGTTTTAGAGCACTTCATGCTTCCTGCAGCTGACCAACTTTTTGGAGATGCAGATTTCATTTTCCAACAGGACTTGGCACCTGCACACAGTGCCAAAGCTACCAGTACCTGGTTGAAGGACCATGGTATCCCTGTTCTTAATTGGCCAGCAAACTCTCCTGACCTTAACCCCATAGAAAATATATGGGGTATTGTGAAGAAGAAGATGCAATACACCAGACCCAACAATTCAGAAGAGCTAAAAGCCACTATTAGAGCAACCTGGGCTATCATAACACCTGAGCAGTGCCACAGACTGATCGACTCCATGCCACGCCGCATTGCTGCAGTAATACAGGCCAAAGGAGGCCCAACTAAATACTGAGTGCTGTACATGCTCATACTTTTCATGTTCATACTTTTCAGTTGGCCAACATTTCTATAAATCCTTTGTTTTTATTGGTCTTCAGTAATATTCTAATTTTCTGATATGATGAATTTGAGATTTTCATTTGTTGTCATTTGTAATCATCAAAATTAAACAAAATAAACATCTGAAATATATGAGTTTGTATGTAATGTATGAATATAATATACAAGTTTCACTTTTTAAATGGAATTACTGAAATCAATCTACTTTTTCATGATATTCTAATTTTATGACCAGCACCTGTACAGCTGTGTTTAAATAATGTTTATGATACCCTTCTGTGCATCTTTATAGCAGTTTTAAAGCTTGCATACTTTTTGTTTTTTTGGGGGGGCGGGGAAATTGGGGCCTCTTTCATTAGGCCCCAATTTCCGCCCTGTGTAGGACTAATTTAAACTGAGCTTAAGCAGCAAATCTCTCAGGCCCCGTCCACACGAAGACGAACCCTGGCCTAAACGCACAAATTTTTCACCAAACCAGCCTCTCATCCACACGAAGCCGGCGTTTCGGGGGTCTGTAAACGATCTTTTTTTTATTCAGCCTTCAGAGTGGGAAGATTTCGAAACGCCGTTTTCGCTTTTCCATCTTTACGCTCTAACCGCATATTTTTTTTTACACGCATGCGTCATAGCGTCGCCTCTAAACACGCATGCGCGACCAGTATCACAACAACAATGGCGCCGTTGCTGCTAATGCTACTCACCCTGCTGTCGGGCTTACAACAGAATCTTCTTCTTCTGGAATATCTCCAGGAAGAACAGAGCAATATCGACGACATAGTTCAGCACCTGAATTTGACTTAACCACGAAAATGGACCCGCAGGGCAACCATGTATAAATATTAGTGCGCATGCCCAACATTTCGTCGCTTATTTTTGCTTTGGCACGAAAGCGCCACTTACAGGCCTGGCATACATTTTGCAGCGTTTTCATGCATTCGTGTGGACGCTCACATTTATTTTACGTCTCCGTCTTTACGGCAAACGTTTTGGAAAATATCAGCGTTTCGTGTTTGTTTTGACTTCGTGTGGACGGGGCCTCAGATAGAAATAAAATGAATAGAGCTTACACTCTCACATAAGGGTTGGGAAATTGTAAACTTACAGAATAGGACAAAAACAGTCTTGTTGGGGTTGAATGCTACTTTCTCCAGATTGATTCCCACCAGCTCCTTAACAGGCTCCTTATCCCATCCTTCAGGAACAGGCTCACTCTGCAACTTGGGCTGTTAAACCACACAAGCACTTAGCCGACTGAAATAACTGTATATCGACCAACATTTCTGTGTATGGTTTACCTTGGCTTTGCCTTCAAGGTAGGACTGACAGAACTGTTTTATGACCTTCACATCCAAGGTCTCAGACGGCAAATTGTAGGTCACATGATCCGTCAGGTTCACTAGTCGGATATGAGGAGCTTCAAAATGCCGGACACGGAAGTACTCCATCAGTCTGCCGTTACGATGTTCATCCACGTTCACCAGGACAAACAGAATCTGGGCAGAGACACATAAAGGTATATCTTCAAGGCTTTGGAGATCAAATGGGTACTTGGTGATGAATAGTTGAAGATATAGAGTTTCTGAAAAGAGCAGGAGCAGATGTTTTTCCATGTCTGAGATCAAAGGTTTGCTTTTAGAAAAGTCAAAAACAGGAGCTTAAGATCTGGAAATTTACTGTGAAAATTTGCCACTGATTGGTCTGATATGAATCGTAAAACAGTCACTCTAAGTGTGTACGTCTGTTAAAAATCCATTCTTATAATAAACATAAACAGTCTTTGAAAATTAAAAAAGGGTTTAAACTAATCCCTAATCATTAAAATTCTGAGAGACACTCTTTCTTAAAATCTTATGGATTATCATCAGAATGGATTTCTGTCAGTGCTAAAAAAAATGTTCCTTCCTGTCATTGTTCATTTTCATGCAGGACAATTTTTAGGCCTTAGAAAAACCATTAACCTGGATCTGCATCAAAATTCTGATCAGCACATTATTATTCAATGTTTTAAAAGAGCAGCAAACAAAAGTCAATACTGTCAACTTCATCAAAATGTCAAGGAATTAACCCTAACAAAAATGTTTTTTTTTGGCTTAAGATCCACCGTTTTTACATATCTATCTATAGCTGTAAACCACATTTTGTTACTTTAAAAACAGAAACTTGAAACAGTTTTATGATAACTTTAACAAATAAACCACTCCAATGTAGTGTGTGATTACACTGTGGGAGGAAAATAATGCATGTTTGTTTTTTGTTTTCATCCATCTTCTTTTACTATGAACTAAAATTGGCACATTTTTTTAATCCTGAATGGAAATGAAATGCTCTTGTAACCTTATTTCTATTTGCTGTTGGCATGAGGGATCTCCTGTTGCGCTTTGTCCTACAGTATATCGGCAGAAGCCTTTAACTCCTTTAACCTCCTTAAGGAGAACTACCTGCTCTTTCCCTTGTTTCCGACAGCTTTAAGTCTCCAGCCTGTCCCTGTCCTCATTTGCTCTCCTTTTTAGTGACAGACAAGCAGAGGAGAGACTATATCACACTTCAGGTCCTGGATAGTGGTACCCAGAAACCTTGTCAGGTCTGTGCTGTCAGTGAATTTTGAGAGTTTGACCGATTAGTCTCCTTAGACGTACAGTAGTTATTGTGTAGAGGAAAAAGGAAAGTGGGTAGAGTGCTGATAATTAGGGTGCTGGATGTGATGGTTGAGGATGAATGTGATGTTGAAGGTAAATTTGGATGATATGAATGAGGAGGAATATCCCCATTAGTGAAAAAATGAATGAGTTTGTTTGTTTATACCTTCATTCTGAACTCCTCTGCAGCACTGTGGAAAGCAGAGAAAATCTCTACAAAGTCCTCAGAACTTTTGTTGACAAAGAGGAGAGCGTGGTTCAACACAGGGGAACCAAGGATCAGGGAGGCTGTCTGCAGAAAGAGAGAAAGATGAAAAACATACATGATTCCTAGCAAGTCCAAGTCAGAAACAACTCAGAAAACATTGGGAAAATAATGTCCTGTAATATTAATCAAACAACTTTGATGGGACAATGAAAAAATATTGTGTTAAAAAATGTATTTGGTGTTCAGATGGAGGCCAAAAATGAAAGCATTCAGCCAAATTTAACAGCTTGTGTTAATATGAAAAAAAGACTTAATTACCCTGCTTTTGTGCTGCCAGTACTCAGGTTTTTAAAATGTCTTCTCTCCATAACAGAACCTATTTAAATCAAATCCAATTTACCACCTTTTAACAATAGAAGTGGAAAATCTGGGGCTTAATATAAACTATAAGTTAACTTCAGGATTACCAACAAGCAATTCTGTAAAGAAACTATAAAATATATTAATACATTAATGCATTAATTTTCCTATTTGGCTGTGACACCATCGTGCAGAGAAATATCAGCTGTACTGCTGCCATTTCACACCTTTGTTTTTTGATCCAATATTGGCCTGTTTTTCAGTCTACACCTGTTTCTCCGACTGTGACTGGCTGGATGTGCTCTCTTCATCCTCTGACATGGGAGCTGGCTTGGAGCTTGTCTGCCTGGCTGTGTGTTTCCTGGAAAGGGCTGCCTTTTACAGTTGCCTTTTGTATCTCTGCTTCTGTCTGCTTGAACCCCAGTCGGCCTCGGCAGATGGCCGCTCACACTGAGCCTGGTTCTGCTGGAGGTTTCTTCCTGTTAAAAGGGAGTTTTTCCTCTCCACTGTCGCTACAAGCATGCTTAGTGTGAGGGATTGCCTTTAAGTCAATGAGTCGATGCAATCAACAGGTTTTCCTTAGATAGAAAACTTTGAATCAATTTGACTGTATGATCTGGTGAACTGTAAAATGCCTTGAGATGTCATGTGTTGTGAATTGGAGCTATGTAAATAAACTGAATCGGAATTAATTAAACAAAGTAAACAAATAAAAGCAAACATGAGTTATTAATAGTTTACTATTAATATAAACTATTCTAAAACCAGATTCAAAATAAATAAATCAAATAAATAGATGGAATAGATTCAAAATAAAAAAATAAGCATTAATAGGGCATCAGCTGTATCTTTAGAGAGGGTCTCATCAACATTTTTAAAACTAGGCTGAAAGCTGATTCCATACAAATGGTTTCTGATAGCTAAAGTCTGTGCTCGTCTTCCACATTTAAGTTGTCTTCGAGCAAAGGGCTCTGAATTATAAGCCATGACTTAACTATATTTGATTATGATTTAAAAAAATAAGGAGGATTAGGGTTAGTGAGAAACCTTTAAATTTTTTTAAATCCAGAGTAATAACTTTAAATGCAGAAAAAAGTGTGGAAACGTGGGGTCACCAACAGCAGCATTTTGATTATCCTGTGTAACAAATGCATGAAGAGGTCGTTCTAATTGATCCTGAGAATGATACCTTAGAGATGTTTCGTCAGATGGTGGAGAGTGGCTTTAGGTAACTGTGTAAATAATGGCACATTAATGCCATCCAGAGAAATTAATTGGCAAATTCTTTCTTAAGATGTTTAGGTTAAAAACCAATCACCTCTGTTTTATTAGGATATAGCAACTGAATATTAGAGAACATGCTGGCTTTTAAAGTTATGCCTGTTTTCTGGTTTGCTGTTTGAACTTATTCCTTAGCCATGGAGAAAATGTCTCCTGCTTAAAGAGAGCTGAGCAGAGGACAATGGTAAACTAGACCTGCAGGCAGCTTTTCAGAGACAATGGATTGTTATTACAAAGAGACACTGGAGTTGATAATCTGGTAGATATTTTAAATTTTTTTCTATTATTCCTGACCTGACTTCCAGGCACTGTTCATCAGCTGAATGATATGTTCTAGGTCTTACATTTGTTTACTTTCTTCATTCAAAGCTCCCACCCTGCACAGTGTTCTCCTATGATCAGAACCTGAAAAAAATTCAGCCAAAGTCTAAAAAAGAAGTGACACACCATTAAAAAGCCTGGAGAAATGTTGAAGGTCTCTTTAAAATGTAGCATAAAGTGTGGTTCCTTTACAGTAGAAGTTTCACACAGTGCTGCACCTGGCTGGGTATGTTTTATTTAGTACCTGTCCATTGTACTCAGTGACTGGATCCATCATGTAGACGGAGATAAACCTGATCAGCTCCTCTTTCTGTGTTTCTGGCTTCATTTTGAAGGTCTGA